TTATAACTGACCCTTCCATTGCTAGCCAGTTTCATGGTATGTGTTCTCTGCCGTCTTTGTCTTGGAGCTTCAACAACTACAATGACTTTTTCGCCAGCCTGAATTTCAATGAAATCCATATCCTTTTGAGCATTGGCCTGCACCCACCATTCCACTTGTTTGCCCACAGTTTTCCGGGACAACACCTTGAGTTCAGTCAGGCCAGCACGTGTAAGTTCCTGAGTCAAGGTACTAGCCGCCCAATCTCGCGGAACACCAGTGACGCGCCAAGCTCTGGCCTTAGGAGGAGGCTCGGCGCTCCTGGGCTTACGTACTCCCAGTCCATTCCATCCCCGGGCAATGCCCAGGTCACCAGCCATGGACTGAACCTTCTGCAAGTAGCTGGGCCCATCAAGTTCCGAACTTTTCTTGACCCACTCAACATCGCAAGATTCAATCACGGAGTTGTTCCATTGCAAAGGCTCCACAAACCAGGTACTTTTGCCTGAGCAGCCTAGAAGAGCTTTGGCAGCACTTCGCTCAATGCGTAAAAGGCCAGTGATCACTGGCTTGCCTCCGCCTTTCATGCTTTCTTGCTGAAACGCCCACATATCAAAGACTTTGTCCGCAACATGCTCTGGAACATGCCGATGCAACCAAGCCTGCGCGTTTGCCTTTGGCTTGGCCTGGATGCTCTGCCACTCGTTGTTTTGCAAATATTTTGCATCAACACTTAATCTCACTACAACAGTTTCAGGCTGCACTGCAGGAGCCGCTGACACAACGGCAGCTCTCTTGAGTGATGGCCCTTGGCCTTGAAGTGGGATCACAAACGCCTGCCTGGGCTGCACCTTGCCCGAGATCTTTCCTGGCACCATCCGCAAAGGTCGATCCTCCTCAGTCTGCTTGGCCTCTTTCGGCGCTAGCATCACAGCTGTGATGTTGAGCTCTCTTTTGATATCAGGGGAATCGCCTTTCAGCAAAACCTGCAACTCCTCAAGTTGCTCTTCCGAGTTCACTTGCACTGTAGCTGAAATATTTCCAGGCTTATCCAGTGCGACACAAAAGTCATCAAAGCCCAAAATGGGCCCCGTCCAGTCTGACTGACGCAGGCTCCACACCGGCTTAAACGCAGTGTTGGCTCGAACCACTTCAGCAAAGGTCTTGGGCGTTTTGTGGGGCTGCTGCTCTGTGTGTGGCTGTTTTTGGACGTCCGCCTTTTGCTTAGGATGTGGTTTCGAAGTATTCTGCGGGGGCTGAGTAGGAGGAGAAGAAGGGTAAAAACCACCCCCTTGGCCGTAATCCCCCAGACCACCATCACCGCCCTGTTTATTTTTGTTCTTGTTCTTAGTCTTCTTGGGTTTGGCACACCCGCCATGGCCCATCATAGCACTGAGCTGTTGAAGCAAATTCCCACCGCCACCCCCGAGTCCCAACAATTGGAAAAGCTGAGAGAGTAGTTTGAGAATCTCACCTGCTTGTTGCAAATTGAAGCCATTTGCTTGGTTATTGCTTTGTTTCTGTTTCCTTTTGCGAGCTGTTGCTCTGCTTCCTGCACCATTGCCATGCATGGCATGCATCAATGCGTTCCGCTCTTTTGAAGACACAGCCCAAATCTTCTGAAGCAAATCGAAACTTGCAAGCACCACATCTGAACAATTCGTTTCTAAGCACTGCCAAGGCCCATCAGCAATGCATAGACCCGCAGCCACCGCGCGGAGGTTGTCCAGATAGCTGCCAAAAGGGGTTCCAGCCGCATCGAGCACCAAGAGAACTCCTTGAGACATCTGCATGGCTCTGTAGAATGAGGTGCTGCGGGGGTTGCTCTTGATATCCTCTTCCACGCAGTGCTGGTTGTTGGCATATGCACATACCCAATAAAATGTACTGCCTGACAGTTCTCGCACCAAAGCATGCTGCTCCAAGCAGGCCAGAAATTTGCAAACAGGTTCCTCGCAGATCTGTGCAAGGCAAAATTACACACGCTTCAGACGAAAAGATTGACTTTCAGACCTGAAAAACATCTGAATGCAATTGTTCACTGAATTGAGAAAAAATGGAAGGGGTCTCAGACCGAATGCACAATCTGAACATGATTTCGCTCTTATCTTATTATGATATCTTAATATATCTTATGTATACCGTATACCTTTCCAATCTAACTGGTAAATGTGCAGCCATCCCCCCTACTATATAGATCTACATAGTACTGGGCGGACGTTGTTTCTTACCCCAGGCACACAGGGTGACCCCATCCAGAAGTTACCCCATCCCAATGGCACACAGGGTGACCCCAGGCCATCCGGAAGTTACCCCAGGGACCAAATCCTATTGGCACACTAGTACCACACCACCGTTGGTTTGGCAAACAAAATATGTAAAATGTGTCCGTGCCATTGCGAACCACATATTTAATACATTTTAATACCATCTCCTTTGGTGATAAAACCATGTTGAAAGTGGGCAACCGCCATTGGCACACACGCATTGGCAGCAAAACAGCTGCCTTCCATCCAAATGAGAAAAGTAACCAATTCTGCAGCACACGCCCCAGTTTCTTGTCATGACTCTGGACATGGATTCGTTTGATTTCGGTACGAGCCCCGGCGTGATCCTACGCCATTTACTAGAACTTGCGCCCATCCCCAAACGAAATAATTCCTTTTAAAGTAAACGCAGTAGCAGAGTCCACCACTGCACATCAGCCAAGGCTCAATCCAAGCGTGTGACACAAACCAATTCGGTCTCTGCACTTGAATCGCCATGATCTCGACCAAGCTGCAGCCCTTTTTTTCATAGCCTTCGGTGGCTGGTTTGATGATCCAATGGTTCGCATGATACAAGTTAAAGGTGTCAAAGCGCAGCCTTGTCCCACGATGTTCTCCGACTGTTTCGCACCATCTGTCAGCCATCTTGTAGATGAAACCAACAAGCTTTGACAACTGCTCGCGAGTGATTCCTCGCTCTGCAGTATCTTTGATGCAGAAGGCCTCCTTCAGATGTGTGGAGCATCCAAGACATGCAGCACATTAAATTGGGAGTGTTGCAAACGGGTCCCCTCGCAACAGCTGAATCTTGAAGTGAGTGAAATTCGAAAAGCATTGTAATTATAATTTCTCTGGCTTGGAAATGCCAGTGCTCTTCCTAGCAGTCACTCGCCTTTGCTTCACATGTTCTCAATGCGTTCAACTAGCCTCTGGTAGTTGGGGCTTGAGATCTTCAAAATAGTATGTTCCAGGTTGCATGTTCATGGTAGCCTTTCCATCCCCCGCTATATTGCGACAAGAAGACCAGGTGTTCAAAATATGACAGGGCAACTGAATATTCAGCATTGATCCATATTTGATGATATTTGTCGGCGTTTAGTTTCTGAATTGTGTTTTGCCACGGGTGCTAAGACTTTGGATTTTGGATGTTCTGTGTTATAGAACCTTTCTGCTGAAAAAAGAAGAAAGCTGCACGGGTGTCTCCTGGTTGCTAACCTCTGAATAGTTTGTCAAGACCAAAGTGCTGTGGCTGGGTGCCTCCACGACGTCATCACACTGTAGCTGGCAAACCCCGCTGGACAGCACCTTGTTCCCATGCCATGGGCTGTCTGGCAAATGCTCACGTAGCAGTAGAAGAATGTCACCAGCGGTGCGTGAGGCAGCCAATGGGATGTCAAAGTGACCATATCCAGGAATATCCACAGCAACCGACATGAGGCAGCGAATCCTTTGCGCTGTCCAGGGGCGAAAATTGATTGCAGTCTTCAACAACACGTAGGTTTATCAAGAACTTTGTTTTTCAAAACGTTAGATTTCTCAATGTGCTTGATTGGCCAAGGTTTCATGATTCTTCCTGAAGTGATTAGCACCGCAGAAAGCAAGTGTTGTCCACACTAGCCTTGAGAAGAAGCCACCGACACAAAATGAGGACGACACCTCTAAGACTCCACGGCCAACACGGTCACAACCACAACACACCACTACTTTACAGAATCATTCAGCAAACTGTGTCCAGAACGTCAGACTGCTTGGAATTCTAGGGCTGAGTCGGCCTCTGCTTCTTTTAGACAAAACAATTTGTTGCATAATAAACATCTGAGGAAACATATCCCTTGGCGAAAATCTTTACCCAAACAACACAAAAATACAATTAAGAAACAATATAACTATAGACTATAAGATTGGAACAAGACCATGATGCCGGCAAGCGTGATTCTTCAGAGGTATCATGGAATATGGATATAGATTTGATGATGAAGCACCGAATCACCCGTGATGCAAATCTCAGATCGTTGCTTGGCTCCCGCTCTTCCAACATCGTAAGAAAACCTGCAGCCAAGATTAGCCAAGATCAGCCAATGGACGGGTCCAAGTCACCGAACTCCGGGACTCTGTCGCAAGGCCAAGCAGGGCCTCCTCTGGCATGGGTGGCAGGCTGCACGATGTACCTTTTCCATGGCGTTGTGCTCACAGATGAAGACAGGGTTGAGAAGACAAATGAATCCAATGGAGGATTATGACGATTAGAACCACACTATATATATATATATTATAAGAACAGTACTCTGAACTTTGAAGCTCTGAAATGTACATGCTCTGGAACCTCCCGGAATTCATTTCCTATACCCACTGGCTAGTTTCAAGACTTCCGCCCAAATCCGGTCGTGCAGCTTACTACTCATGTGCAGAATATCAGCAAAATCATACTTTTTCAAACAAGCACAAACTTGCTACCGATGAACCAACGCGGCAGCCGTCAGACTGCAAGAAATCCGCCAGCAGCAGAGTGCTTACAAGTGCAAACACCTGTAATTTACAGATTGGAATTGGCACCTATAGATACCTATAGTAGCTGTATGTGCAGAAGGCTCAGAGCAATGCAAAGTGATATCAAAGCATCAAAACAACAATCATTCAAAGCCTCCCGGCAATTTTGAATAATTTTGATATAGCAATTTATCCAGCATCTGATATCACATCACCACATGATCCACATGGCCGAGCGCCTTGACCTCTTGAATCTCTCGGCCAATTTCAGCGTACGTAAATGTCCAAGTCGTACACCAAGCAAGGCTCCTGCAGTGCAGAAAGATCCAAAGGAGCTTTGCGAGCAGCGGCACATGGCAGCACGGAGCATCATGGAGCTAAGGAACAAAACACTTCGACATACTTCGACTTAGATATCTTATAGTATCTTATATAATAATTATATATCCAATCTTGATTGCTGTTTTCGAAGCTCTGCAGAGCAATGCTCATACAAAAAAGACCTGGAAAGGCCACGGCAACCATTCCCCTTCCGTGCAGACCTCCAGGACTATGCGCGGTCGATTGGCTCGCCAAGCTCCTGGAGGACTCCCGTCTGTGTGGAGAACCTTTCAACGAAGTTCAGAGTATCTCAGTCACAGCTAGTGGTGGCTTCTCGCTGAGAAAATGTAACAGCAAATTCATGCAAATTCACGGAGGCAAAAGGAAGTGAGGACTGGACAATCAGCAAGGTTTGTACCACTTCTTCTTGCAGCCTTTCAGAATTTGATATGACCACTATCTGATCGCAGCTATTGATGCTTGGGATACCTTTGCAATGGCCTGGGACCTGGAAACACCCAAGGGCACAATCAATGCGCAAAATCCTTTGTGCTGCTGGGACCAACATGTCTCAGGCAGAGTTTTTGGAGGCACATGATTAGCAACCGGCAACATGCCTTGACTTGCTTCTTCGTTTCTTTGACCCATCAGCCTGAACCGCCACAAATGCATGGCCAGAAATGTAACATTATGAAACCCTGTATTGAACAATAATGAATAACTTATATTGTATACCTGTATAACTGATTATTGTTCAATGAAACCTGCAAAGCGTGGCTTCGGATTCATTCTCTCCGGTTGTCACCCTCTCTCTCTTGCTCGTTTCCGACCATCTATACAGACTCTTTCATTCACGGTTGGCGCAGACCTGAAAAACGTCAAGAAGCTCGGAGAGTCCGGGGCCAAGCGCAAAGTGGCCTGGCGCTGTCTACCAGTGGAAAAGGCACGTCTATCTGGTGCGCTGCGTTGCTGCTCGTTATAAATCCAGCCAAAGCTTCGTGTCTGGTGCCTTCTCTTTTACCAAAGGTCTCTCGCTGCAGAATTTAGAGGTTTGCCATGTTTGTCACCAGACTGCACTGCTTTAAAACTGTCATTGACAGATCTTAGTCGATCGGAAGAACTTTTATGCTAGTTACTAAGTTACTATTGAGACAAGGAGGAGAGTTACACACAGACCATGGGATATTCCAAGCATGGGCTTGCCCCATCATAAGTTAATCATGGCTAATCATGATTAATCAATGACTCGATCCTTGGGCAACCTGAAAAACTTTAAACGCAACTTGCGCATGCCAGGCCTGGCCAGAAGTTCCTTCTCACCAGAGCGAATGTCAGCATCTGACGGGCCTCTGATGTCGCAATGAAGCCTCAGGGATCGTTGGAAGTGGCCCGAATGCAGCGGCTTCGGATGCGGCTTCACTATTACGATGCAAGATGATGGAAGTACTCTGATTCCTGGACTGAGGAAACTGCAACCTCCTGCTCCACCACAGTAAACAGCGCAAGCCTGGCTAAGCTACGGGGAACGTCAGCCGCTCCAAAGTGATAGAAAGAGGGTTGAGAAAGCGTGTGAAGCATCATGAAGCACCGTGAAGCACCAAACCCCCAGTGGAGTCCAAGTTCCAGCATACAACATGATCATCATCGAATATCATCGATATCATCATCATCAGCTTCAGCTAAAACATGAGAGGAACCTCAGTAAACAACTCCGTGCCAAGCTGCCAAAGTCTTGCAGGACCTCCCCGCAAACCTTCACAGCGAGGCGATGTATTTCGTCGCATCAAGATGGTCCATAACAGTGCTGCGGTGCACTGGAGCCCTGGGGTGATGCTTGCTCCACTATGGACAAGCGAAATTGTGAGGACACAAAATCTTTTGGCTCTGACCAACTACTTCCCTGCTCAAATCATGGACATCCATGGTCTGTGGGTATCTGCAGCTTAGGCTTCACCTAGGAGTATAGCCAGGAGTATTAAACCACGCGCCAGGCAAGTCTCAAACATCTCCAAACATCTCCAAACAGGTGGAACCCACCAGAATGCGAGTCCCCAGTCAGGCCTAACAGCGCGGCCAGGTTCCCGATCCACATGCTGAAGTCCAAGGAGCAATCAGGCCAGATGCGACCTTCGAACTGAGTAGGCCAATGGCAAGGGGCAAGTAGCCACAGCTGAATTGATGCTTTCTGGAACTTTCTAGTCTTGCTGCTCAACATGGTGTTGCTCAACTGGCTTGCAGCGCATCTGGCTGGGTCAAGGGAATCTGCTGTGTTGACCGAATCTGCTAGGCTGTAATAATATATATGATATATAAATATAGTAATATGATTATATATATAATATATACATATTCATATTTGTAATCATTAGTATCCCTAAATGTCCTAAATTCAGGTTTAAAATTTGCTCCTGTGAACTTCAAAAAAATGCTTCAACATGTATAGATTGAATATGATAATGAATGCACCTCCCTTTGCACACCACTGTGTTACAGTGTGACTAAATATCAAATCGCACAATATAGGGCGAGTATACAAGTCCTCTTCACTTGTAGAACATAAGCTTGCACAAAGCACAGTAGAGACTGCCCGAAAAAAGCACGGTAGAGACTCCCCGAAACTTCTGGTGGAGACGCTTTCTTCCGTGGTTAAACAAGTTGCACTCTGAGAACGTAGCTAGCACGCTTTGCAAGCATCTTAGCACAGTCCCATCTCTGCAACGCCACTGCAGCTGCAAAGGTAGTGACCTTTTGCAGTCGATGCAGCTTGAGATTTGGTTGAATGCTCTTTGAATACTCTTTCATCAACAGGCCGTGTGTTGGTTTGCAAGTCTCACAAATGGATCAAATGGGGCCTCTGACTTCGTTTCTTCCCCAAACACTTGTCAGGGCATTGTCACGGCACCATGCCCAAATACACCAAAACCTGCGGGAAGGGGACTTGACCACGGACAAAATCAATGTGGCAGAGCTGAAACTCAGGAGAGGTGATGCCTTGGCAGACTGTGAAAATATTCTCTGTGAACCTGCCTGTCAGATGGCGCTGGAAGGAGTGATAAACGTACAGCGGCATGTACCTCACTGGCGAATATGGAAACAGGATGAAAACGGGAAGGTGGTCTGAAATCGTCAGCCATCTCTGTGGCAGACAGTCTGCACTAAAGTCAAAGACGACCACATCGTTGCATCCCTGCGAACTGCGGAGACTGAATCACACCCTAGGAAGATACACTGAAAACAGGGCCACAATTTGGACGAAGCATCCTTTTTGTTTCAGTTGGGACGAAACAAGCAACAACCAGTACAGTGACTTGATCCATGCATCATGCATATGAAACTTTCCACAGAAATGTACTTCTGTTGTGTGGGTAATGTGTGTATATTGGGTAATTATTCATAGTGTGGGGAAACTCTCCCGTAGTTGATAGTTTCGTGCACATGAGCATCAAAGCTTGGTCTACTGGTTTTGGATGGTGCATACAGAAACCAATGTTTGAGGAATTCTGACAGATTTTGCACAGCCTATCTTGTATGGTTCCCGGTCGTCGAAGTCCCAAGAATTCTAACACGGAAGGCATCAGAACCTGGTAGCCAGAGAAGAAATTGCGATTCTTGCCAACTCGGGAGCAGCTCGCAACCTTAGAATGAAAGATATCAAAGGACTCAGCGGAGGTGGATAGTTTCAGCGTGAGTTGGGCATGTTTCAGCTTTACCACGGAAAAAGAAATGCAAAAGCAGCAAAGACCCTCCTTCATCCCAGGATGTGATGTCTGTGCAAAAATACATTGTCTGATTCAATGTGTCAGCATTTTGCGTGCATCCGCAGGGAAAGCTCTGCAATTTCTTCTCCTCTCAGCCCTGCTCACAGCTAAGATTATCAAGGGATTAAAACAACCCCTTCACTGACCAGCTGTTGACTTTGGCTGTTGTCAGTTGAGTTCAAGCGCTACATAAAGCGAAGTTCACTGACATGGTTTGACCATGAGCAAAAGCATGCACCTTTGGCCATGCACACAAAACATTTGCTTGCATGGATATGAGACATATCCAATGAACCGAATAGTCATACAGCACCTTACAGATTCGTCAGCAAATAGACTCAGCTGCATCTCAAACACCGGAAAGAGGAACTGCTAACTGGAAGAGCAGCAAACAAGAATGACTATCTGCGAGGTGCATGGTAATTCAATGTGGTGGTTGCTTTCAGCATCCTATAAAACCCAAGTGAATTTCTTCGACGCCCAATTGGCTAGAAGCGCAAATCATTGGCACTTCACACTGACCGTGTGGATTTTCTGGCGCAAGAGTGTGCACACGGGCAAAGCCTGCACGAAATGGTAATCAGCGCTGGTTGACCACAAACTGAATCAAAATCATCAAATACAAACTGAAGCACCAGCTTTGCCAGCCGGCCTTGCCACTGCCTAGCTCTTTCAAACCAGTACTGGTACATGAATTTCATCTTCCAGCCAACCTTGCGGCGCTGAAAGACTGGTTGTGCAGTTCATGCCGCAACGCGGACACAGGGATGATTCTGTTGAACAGTGATTTTGTTTTCGAGCAAATAGTAAAAATATATTACTGGATGATACTGGATACAAGTGGATACATGGCAATACATAGCAATACTATGACGCGACGCACAAGGATTGATCTGTTAGGACCATGTTGGATCATGATCTCCGTCGATGCCAAGGCACTGTGAGCCGATGGCCCGGCCGCGGCTAGCAGCACAGCTCGCTGCAAGACCTACAGCATTATACGGCGTCACCGTACCCTGCGGTCTGCGGTTCACCCCAAAATAGCTGGTATATAGTATATAGATGATGTATATAGCTGGTATAACTGGATGTTCATCCCACCAATATATTTCACATAATTTTCACATTATTTCACATTATTTCACTATCTTTTCCAATGTCTTGACTGATTCCTATGTTGCCATGGTGACTGTCGTGGGCCATGAGGAGACCACTCGTCGCAGTCGTTCCTTTCCAGGTTCCGGCAAGAGTGCCTCATCTTGCCTAAGATCAAAACAGTGATAAGATGTGATAAACGATGGTAATAAAATGTAATAAACAATGGTAAAAACAGCTATGAATTGTGATCAAGTCAGAAGGCAGACATTGCCAGACTTGCAAACTAAATCCAACTGACATGATCTGTGCAGCGCTTTTCCAAAACCGAAGCTTAGATGAGCAGTTGAGCAGCGTGGACTCAGGATGTGGTGATATTGCCACAACCCTGCCACCGCCAAAGTTTTGCATAACCTGAGCTGCTCAGGGATTACATGTTGAATGCAGAGCTGGCTGCGGAGCTTGATTGAAACATGTTGAACATCTTATCACTCCTTCCTGGCCTGCCTGGTGGCCTTCCTAAGATTATCTGAGATTGAAGCTATGCCCGCAGATCCTTTCCTTAGCTTTTCGGGCGGTATGATTTGTCGAGTAGACTTCTGCAATTCCCTGACCAGTCTGTATGTAGTACCTGTATATATTATTATATATTCGTATATGTTCAATATCTATGCGTACATATACATCATATACATGCCACACGGTGACTGCATGTGACAAAGCCACGTAGCTTTTTGCAGCCCACGTGGCAGTGTGCTGGGAGCTTTGTCCTGCACCTCCTCTTTGGCTGACATTCGGCTCATCAAAATGGCAGGAGAAGCCTCACTGAAAGGCCCGAACACTGGAGTGAATATGTCACAGACTGCTTGCGAGTTTGGAGATTGCGTCCAGATGCGTCCAGACTTCATGGAGAATTCCCATCTTTACTGGAGACGAGCAGCCTTAGGGATCTCCAAAAGCGGCCCATTGTGATAGCGCATGCCTCCGGATCAAGCGCTGTGCAGGATGCAGCCACACAAGTGCGCACGTCCGGTGTCATTTTGCAGAAAGGGCACACACTTCTCCAGAGGCAGATTCATCTGGTTCCACAGCTTTTGAACGTCCCTCGTGCCACCTGACTCAAAGCTTGCAAGACCGAAACGTATGATGGAATGTATATGAATGTATCATCTCATGTTTATATTTACTCATGCGTGTTCTCCACATTCTACCAGCACACCAAGCACATGCACAGGTTTGACCTACCATGCACTTCAGCCAAGCTGCAAGAGCTTTCGGCCCTTTTGAGTGAATTTCATTTTCACAATGAAAGCGTCACGCCCATCTCGGCTAGCCTCGATGTCAGTGTGAATGAAGTCAGGAAAGGAGCAGTGCTAATTGATGTTTGTTGGAAATGCATTATATGCATCTGTAATTGGCTATACATAACTGCACGGTGATTTAACCAACAAACATAGGCAACATAGGGGGATATGAAACCGACCCGAAAACTAACACATTGAGACAAAACTGCCATAGGTGCAGCATATTGTAGGACTGAGAAGCCTTTGAATCTGCTCTCGTGTCTTCTGAAGCTGCTTCATCGCCTTGCAAACACCCATGCACGTTCAGATGTTCAGCTCAAGCTCTTGACTCTTGAGCGTTTGGAGGAATGAGAACATGAGATGTTTGAGATGGCACAGAGTTCCCGCCATTGCTACGGCTTTGCCAGATCTTGCTGTCAGGTGGCCAGATTCACTGTCACTGCTTTCAGGCCACATCTGACGGGGAGGTTGTTGCAGCCTTAGGTTCTTGCTTTCGCAAAATTCCACAACTTTGTGCTCTTCCATGCTGTGCCATTCCCCTTTCTCGTCTTCCTCTTTCAGTTTGTGCCTTGTCTTGTGACGTGCAGCAGCTGCACTCCAAAATCTCCAAATATCTTCACAGTGAAGCTTTCAAATTCCCCACCTGCTGCTTCTTCTGTCGACGTCCAGCAGCCTGGCTTCCGATCCATTTTGCCCAGGACATCCTGGTGCCATCGAAAACTCAGGTCATCTTGCAGCCCCATCCTGAGCCGAAGTGCCAAGAAGGCCCCAGCACATACTCCACAGTAGCCGCCACCTGCGCAGTTGCACCGCTCGGAGCGCATATCAAACAGACACTGGCCACACTGGCCACACTGGCCACACTGGCCACACTGGCCACACTGGCCACACTGGCCACACTGGCCACACTGGCGACACTGGCCACACTGGCCACACTGGCCACACTGGCCACACTGGCCACACTGGCCACACTGGCCACACTGGCCACACTGGCCACACTGGCCACACTGGCCACACTGGCCACACTGGCCACACTGGCCACACTGGCCACACTGGCCACACTGGCCACACTGGCCACACTGGCCACACTGGCGACACTGGCCACACTGGCGACACTGGCCACACTGGCGACACTGGCCACACACTGGCGACACTGGCCACACTGTGGCACACTGGCCACACTGGCCACACTGTGGCCACACTGGCCACACTGGCCACACTGGCCACACTGGCCACACTGGCGACACTGGCGACACTGGCGACACTGGCGACACTGGCCACACTGGCCACACTGGCGACACTGGCGACACTGGCCACACTGGCCACACTGGCCACACTGGCGCCACACTGGCGACACTGGCCACACTGGCCACACTGGCCACACTGGCCACACTGGCCACACTGGCCACACTGGCCACACTGGCCACACTGGCCACACTGGCCACACTGGCCACACTGGCCACACTGGCCACACTGGCGACACTGGCCACACACTGGCGACACTGGCCACACACTGGCCACACTGGCCACACTGGCCACACTGGCCACACTGGCCACACTGGCCACACTGCACAACTTGACAGTTCCATACAGTTCCCAACAGTTGGCCAATGGACCGCAGCCAAGCGGCCACTCTTCACAAAGCGCCGCACAGCCGCACAGCCTTCAACACCGAGCGCAAGAAAGTCTGCCTCCCAATGGAGCCGATCGGAACTTCTATGATCTGCCAAAACACTACTAAAGGGTGGCAAACATGATGGGATATGATGAGGTTCAACGGGTTTGTGGAAGCCTCATTGACTAGTCACAGTGACTAGCCGTCACAGGAAAACACATAAGCCTTCGCAGATCCGCCAGGAACAAGGAAAACATCATAGCCAGCACCTTGCTGCAGTGTCTGTGTGCAAACAAACTGAAATATTAGTATACAAATAAACATTCACTCACTAGAACTTGAGCGTTTTGCCACAAACATCCAAAAGCACTTAGAAACCTTCGTCTGTGCCAAGTGCCAAGTCACTGTACGGACCCGTAGGTCGGCGGAGGCGTCCTGCGCAAATGTCCTCTGCCTCCCATGGACATCTCATCTCATCATCTCAGTCATCACTCTCATATATTCTCAATTTGAAACTCTACTTATCTCCGCTTCAATGTCAAGGCCCGCCACCTGCAGCAGCTCCACCTTGACAGGTGGCAAGAAACCTAAGTAGATTGGACGTGTCGCAGGTAAGCTTAAACTGAGCTGCATCCAGTTGTTACTTAGTACAGAAATCGAAGCAAACCACTTGACCCTGATTTGGGATGGGCCAAAATTGCTGAACTTCGTTGCCAGTGTGGAAATTAGATAAAACATGATAAAACTAAACCTGAATGAAATCAGTCTGAGACCTTTTGTGTTTCTACTTCGCTTTGTTCTTTCCTGGGGTCCAGACTCAGCCAAGGCCCATTTTCCATGCGGACTGGGTGAGTCCAAATGAAGCGAGACACAGCCTGCAACGCTTACGACCAGTACATGCACAAGCTCCCGGGCAAGCCTCAGGTCCAAATCTATCCTCCCTCCATAGCTCAACTTGCAACGTGTCAACATATTCAACATGTCAAGAGTTGGTATTGTCATAGGATCAATAGTGGTTCAACCATTGAGCCTTGCTGTAAAACCAAGGTGAGCTAGTCAACGCCACTCGGCAACCTCAGTGCCAAGGCCAATTGTTCAAGGGAATCAATGACGGACCAACGGGATTTCGGTATCTTCCAGTTGCATGTCCATGACTTGCCAATGCAGCAGTCACACTGTGCATATAGAATCATATAAGAACTCAGGCATCACATTCAACACGTGTGCTGTCAAGTGGCATAGGGCCCCTGGGTGTGGCGACACACGACTTGGAAATGCGTTGAAAATAGCAACTCTAAGCCGTGGCAATTGCGTTGGCAGATCCTGGGCATGCGCAGAGTTCGTGTCGTGTCAGCCACTCAGTCAGCCTCTGTCCAAGTGATCACTCAATTGCCGAAGACGTGAAGACAAGGGTCAGAAAATGATTTGCATGATGGCTGCAGCGGATCCAATCTCACCCCCTCAGAGCCAGTGAGAGAATGGTCCTCTGGAGAAAGATTTGTGAGATTTCCAGCTCATGGTCTTTGTATGGTCTTTTTCTACTAAGTAAACTAGTTGCTGACTGAAATCATTTGCAATCGCCATGTAGGCATTTGGTATGAGAAGGAAAACAAGAGTTTGGAGAAATCAACCATCCATGTATCAAAGTCAGCAGTTTTGAGCCACAACCATCTGAGTGTTGGACACATCGCTCCTTCTTGGGTGTCCTTGAATAGCTTCCTGCAATACAACCACTGGTGATGGTGAGCATAGTGGTGAGTACAGCGTCACAGGAAATGCACTAGATGGCAAACAGCCATTGCAATTCGTTTCAACTCATTCTGAATTTGCTGCGATCAATCTGCAAAGTCAGAGGAGACGTTAAGTGACTTTCCCCAACTGGCTGAGCTAGTTCAGATGCTCACTGACTGCATTGACTGCGACCGTATTCCCTTTGACTCCTGAAAAGGAATCTAGCGTCGAGCTGCAACGCCTGATTCTCAAACGTGGGTCTTTCTAAATGAAGATCAATAGGATTCTCTCTTTGGAAGTGCAGCAAAGATGCTTGTGCTGTATGGAAGCCAGTTGGAAAGTGTTTCTGGTCATCTTGCGCTCCTTTAGGCAGAATCACGATCGAAAATAGACTGGGAAGTGGACAATCGATTGCCCATTTCTTTAACGGAGACCACTCATTGCACTCAGCTTGTGTGACTGTTTGGACTTGATAAAGGATGTTCGAGGCACAGCCACACAGCTGTTGTTGACTTCTCACTGTAACTGTCTGTGCATCAAGGAAGTTGCCGCACCTTGCAATCCAGAAATCTACACTCACCGCCTGTCAGCTTCAAAAACTGCTTCAAAAACATTCAAAAACAATACCTTCAACGGCCTTGAATGAGCCTTGAAAAACTTGAACGCAATCTCATGCAATCTCTACGACTGGTCCCCCGTGCCAAGCTTGGTTACAAGATGTTAGGCATTTTGCCGAGCCTAACGTGCTGCACATGCTCGGAGTTGATGACGTCTGTCCAATTGCAGTGCCATCAAGTCGAGAGATGGATGCAGACTTTGCGGACTTCCGAGCTCTTCTCTGGACCATAGCTATGGCAGTCGGGGGGCAAAATTGGCCACATAAGGCCGGACTCTTCCGTCTCTGTGACACAAGCGAGAGAAGATGTGGGCTGATTACAATCGAGAAACCTAGTTTCACAGTTCAAAACGGACGTTGCTTTGTCTGGCTGAATCATGAGGAAAAAATACCAAACTGAGATAGTCGATATAATTCCACCAGTTTTGATGTATTTGAATGAGGTAGATTTTTTTAAAAAGAAAGTGAATTCTATAGTATCTATAGGAATACAACATAAAATATAAGTCGAGTACAACATACGAACATATCCATAATTATGCCTATAATGTATCCACACGCTCTTCATCTTGTCCATTGCCTCGCTGTTTGAGCAAAACATCAGCGTGAGAACATCTAGACGACATCAGTTTGGTTGACCAGTACGCCCTAGCTCACGACATGCAATTTACGTTGACAATGGACCCCATTTAATGAAGGTTGGATGCAAAAAGACAAGTTGCGAAGAATGTCAAAGGTTTAGGGGTACCTTCATAGTTTGTCAGGACAAAGTTTGACAGTCAACAATTTTGTCTGGAACTTGCCTGGTTCAACCACTTTAACCAAAATGCAAACTGCTGGGTGCCGGACTGTCCACATGCTACTACCAATCGTTGTAGATCGGAAAATCGCAAGCCATGCAAGCTATCCAGCAAGGCATCCCTTTGAGACCTGAGTACTGTGCTGCCAGAGCCTATCTGCTATGTGTGCACGCCAAGGCATCCAAGTCGCTCAAAAGCTGGTAGAAGCCTCCGGTGGCCTCAACCGAACCACACTCCAATTTCATTCAACCCAGAGATACCCAGTGTGTGAAAAAAAACTGTTGCAATCGGTTGCAGTACTATGCAACACTTCACAGTCATAACAACTCATAACAACTCATAACAACTACACATCACACATGCTTGGTTTTGCCTCACGGATATCGCCACCAATCTGGAGACAATCCCAGTTTGCCAACGAGACACGGCAGGACACACCCGCGAAGGAACGAAAAAGCGTTACCGTCTCCAAAGCCTCAGTGCGATTGACCAAAGCCTCTCAGTGCTTGGATCTGCTTTAAACGATTTGGCAGAGCTATTTGCAAAAACTGACAACTTTACACACAACTTTGCACATCTTCGCGCAATTTAGCAGCCGGGAATGGCATCTACTATTTCAATCTAGTTCAGAAAGTTTGCAACAAACACGAGTCTTCTTTTCAATTGCGACCATGACCAGGGTTGAAAGCACTTGAAAACTGGACCCAAAAAAGCACGAGGCGCTGTGGGGGCTGCCAAAACTTGCGCGCCAGCTGCAACTGCACGAAGGAACAACATGATTCACATCCATATATAATATATCAATGTAATATATATATATATACACAAAATTTATGTATAGCCTTCCGCTGTGTAATATATATATACGTGTATATATATATATATATATATGTGCGTGAAATCAGTTCGATGTCCCAAACTATAGTGCTGACCAAGACAGAACCAATCACCATCTGGTAAAATGCTCTAGGAGGGCAGCGCACGAAACCAATAAAAACATGGCAAAATAAATTCTGCAGAAAAAATGGCCAGCTCATACCTGCAGGAAAGGAGAAAGAAAATCAAGACCAAAGAACTCGCCCACAGGCAGACTAGGATCGAAATGGATGATTCAAGGAAATGCAAAGCAAAACTTGGCTGGCATAATTTATGTATATCGTTTGTACACTGTATTTACAGGTTTTCTGCAGCTGGTCACATGGTTGGCATCTTCATGTTCCACCTGCGGATCTCAGTACCAAACTCTCAGCCCAAGTCTGGTTTCGCCTGCGCTGGGAAATTCTCCAGGGACTCGGCTAGACAACCTTGCAGCACTTGCTGATCAACTTCCGACTTCTGGAGATTCTTTTTGAACACCCTGTTGTTCTGTACTTTGCTCAATGTGTCTCCGTATATGCGTATATATTCATTTACATATCATATACATTCATATACATACACATATATTTCTCATATAATTACATATAATTATTACATATAATTACATGTAATTCCATACAATTACATATAAAGACATATGAATACATGCAATTACATACAATTACTTATAATTACATATAATTTAATTACATATAATTACTTCTAATCACATACAATTACATATAATATTATATATATACTATATATATATATTTACATATGTATATATAATATATAATATATATATATATATTATACATATATAAATATATATTATATATTTACATATATTTACATATATAATTACATACAGTACAATATATACAGTATATACAGTATATATACGTTTAAAATGTTTTAAAGAGTGGCTGCATGATGCTGCATGCGTCTTTTCTTCATATTGATCAATGATGTCAAATGTGAAATTGATTCCCACAGAGTTGCTCAGCCGCATCTGTGTACCTCGTGCCACTTCTGCCGGGCAACTCGTTTCCAATCGATCTCCACAAATCAAAGTTGTCGCAACGAGCTCGCGAAAGTTCATCGCAGCCTGAGCGCGGCAGTGGTTTTTGTAGGTGATGTGAGGAGCAAATGGGAGCGATGGTTGTCGCAAACCGGAAGGTATGGCAAGATTCTCTCGGTCCTTTCTGATACAAGATGATACAAGTAGTTTCATCTCATAATCTCACGATCTTATAATTCTTCAACTATGTAATTTTTGAACCTGATTGGAGCCTCCTTACGAGTAGAAATGCACCCTTACGTTGATGGATCCAGGGCTGCAAACTTTCCTGGCGCCGAGACTGGGCTGTAAACTACATGTTTTTCCCAAAAAAGAAACAGATTCTCCAAGACTTGGCAGAGCAATGTACAGAACAAACTCCACAAGTCTGATGATGTCTGATGCACATATTCGCAAAATCAATCAAAATCAACTCTCTAGATTTGAAGTGACTCTTTTCTAAGCAAAGGCCAAAGCATTCGACCAAAGCACTTGTCGGGATAATTGGCAGCCTGATCACAAGACTGCAACAAATGCTCGTGGGTCAAGTTCTTGTCTATCAATGACTAAAAGGGGCTTTTGCAAATCGGATGAACCAACTGCAACTTGGAAAAAAAAATGCAATACCATGAAATTATATGAAATTAAAACATATTAAAACAAATCTCTGCATGCTCCGTGACTTCTTTTGTGCAACGCGCCAGACCGCCAGGCTGGGGGTGTTCCACTGGCTCCATCAACAAGCCATGGCTTGGTTAGCCCGCTTGATGACATCCTTTGAAACAATTCCCACAATTCAAATCCGGGTTGAGGCTTAAATCATCTTAAATCTCTCAATGAGGTCTTCAACGAAATTCAACGAAAGCAATTCTTGGGTGGCTTCAAGGGAAGGCCTTTACGATACAGGATTACACACAACGCGACGCTGAAGAGCCACCCCACAATCCTTCGTTCTGGCTTGCGGAAGGGTGGATTGTAATGCAGGGTCACAGTCACCTTTACAGGGTCTCGTATCTACATGTAGTGGTTTGAATGGATCGAAAGAAGGACAACGGATTCTACATGTCTTGCACTTGGACAGTTGGGTGGTTTGGAAAAATCGCAACCCTATTTCAGATTGATACCCGGACCCCCTAAAAAAAAACAGCAACAAAACGAAACAACTGGTGACTAAAAGATGCCAATTAGAACCATGACAAATTCTCTGAAATTTGCGAACAAGACTTCGAAGTAAACCACTAGCATCACTAGCTTTCAAATGAAGCATGTGCTCTGTGGGTCAGGTTCGTCTCAGAAAATGCTCTGAGGGTCCAGTGCTTCTATATATTCATATCAGCCCATGTGGATCTATACAATGGTGTGAAAGAATTGAAAGATATTGAAAGAGTCATAAAGATTGCTCTATTCTGAGTCTATTCTGAGTATGTCTCTCCCAAGGTCCCTCATTATCCTCATTAGCTAAAAAGTAAGTTGTCCACGCTCCGTGCACTGGGCATATTGCTCTGGACCTTGCATGGTATGAGACCTCCTCTCTAGCGTTAATTCATCAGAAATATGCCAATCATAATCAGCGTTTACTTTTGGAAGTCCAAAAGCTAATGGTAGGTACAGTATGGTTCGACAGGGCTGCTTCATGGCCATCCATGCGCAAGAAACCGAACAGGACCGTTCGAGGGAATTTTTTCCACCATGAAAGATACAGCACCAAGTGTCATGTTCATGGCGCAAAGAACTAGAAGATCTTCAAACCTCAGACATTCAAATCATTTCAAATCATCCAAATGGTATCCAAATGGTATCAAGATTCTTCACTGGGAAGCAATTTGAGCTATGCAAAGCCATACTGCGCAAAATCAATACAGAAATCCCTTCCCCCCAGTTTAGAATTGCATCCAATTAGATCGAATCTATTCATTTTGGGTTCTCATTGGGGTGGTCTCCAATAATAGGAGAAAGGGATTATTCAAACTGTTTCTCTGCCCGTCGAAGTTGATATTATGTTCAGCCAAGAAACTTGGGAAATTGCAAAATTGAGTCTATCAAATATGCAAGAATGCCACCAACGGAAACAAGAAATCCTCGGATGTGAGCAGCTCATGGAAAACATGTGATTCTATGGTCCTGGAGTCTTTCCAGGTACTCGTTTCCCCCCGATTGTAAGAACACGTGCACCACTGGGGGGGAGTCTTTTCTGGGCTGTTCGGTCTGGGGCTGTTTTTTGGGCAAGTTGCAGCGTTTTGAAGCTTCCATCTGATGCACAGTATTGCGCACATGCTTGTTGCTGATGTTTCAGTTCTTTTTTTCTTCTCCTTCGTCGTCGTCTTCTGATGTCTTCTGCCTCCTTCTTCTTCTTCTTCCCCTTCCTCTTCGTCGTGGTTTTATTCTTTTTCTCCTTCTTCTTCTACTTCTTCTTTTTCCCCTTCTTGCTCTTCTTCTTCTTCTACTTCTTCTGCTTCTGCTGCTTCTTCTGCTTCTTCATCTTTCTTCTCCTCCATCGTTCTTTCTCTTCCTCATCTTCGTCCTCCTCATTCTCTTCTTCTTCTTCTTCTTCTTCTCCTGGTTGTTGTCGTTGTGGTTTTGTTTGCAGGGTGAGAGTGGTGGCAGTGGCGACATTGGTGGCAGTGGTGGCAGTGGTGGCAGTGGTGGCAGTGGTGGCAGTGGTGGCAGTGGTGGCACTGGCGACGGTTGCGACAAGGTGACAGCTCTGACCCTTGGTCTTGTCTTGTTGTTGGTCGGCTTCGTCTTGCCGGTTTGTGTATCCTATTCAAAAAAAAATCGGCAGCAGTCCAGTACTTTGTGATGGAGGGATGCTTATTTGGTGGCGCTGGGGGTTGGGGAGCTCTCCATTTTGAACACTGGAAACAACTTTGAACACAGCAGTTCCGAAGTGCGAGATCGCTTCTCTCAAAACGCCCTTGATATTCCTTGATTATTGTCAACGCTTTGGCACTAAAGTACCGAGAAATGTTCCGAAGAAATCCGGCGGTGCGAAGGCAACAGAATACTTGGAGATGACGTTCAGAAAGAGAGCGAACCAGGTGACCAAGGCGAAAATATGAAGCAACTGCGCCCAAACCTGACGAGTCAGCTGTCTTCCGAATTCTGTTAATGAGGTGTAACTAAGCCACTATAAACATACAGTAAATAAATACATTATGATAATTTAATATGTAATATATATATATGTATATACAATACATATGCAACTTCCTTCTGCTGTTTTAGACTGTTGAAACGCAAAACATTGCTCACCATGACCAGAAACAGACTCCACTAAAAGAGTGACTGGCACGCAAAACGCAAGCAAGGCGGAGAATGCAAAAACTGGACGAAATCCTGTTGCAAGGCAATTTGCACAGAAAGTACCTCGTTTTGATCCTTGAAGATATTGTATCAATTGTATCATTATTATCATTCACTGGTTAGGAACTAGATGGAACTAGTGTATACCGTTCACATCCGGTTCACGATAAAATCAAAACTAAATATATATATATGAATTATATATGAATAATTCATATTGAATTATAAAGGTGCGAAATCATCCGCAATGATGCGGAGGTGGTCGGTTGCAGGGTATGAAGGAAAAAAAAAACAGAAAATTTGACCGAGAACAAATGAGTGGTCCAAAGTAGTTGAAGAGAAAACCAGCAATCGGATTGAGCACAATGCCAATAATTACCAGCGCGGTCCCATATACCTTACAACAGGCACAGCTCAAACGGGCAGCATGTGACCTTCACAGTGGTGCTCTCACTGGCATCAAGCAAAACAATATCAACATAATATGATTATTAGTGTATACTACTGTTTACATTTGCTTACATAGCTTAAAAAAAAAAACAACTGACAAAACTTACTTTCAAATGTTGATTTGCGTGCAATAGCATCTGAGAATCCTCTTTGTTGAACCACCTGTTGGCAGAGACCAGCAACACAATGTAAAAAGCATTAAAAAGCCGTAAAAACCATTTTTTCTGAGGCTACTGTGACTAGTGATGACTAGAGTGTGTCTGAATTTCCAAGGATACTCATAGACTCATAGAATCTCAAAGACCAGACTTCCCAGCGTTCGAGTTCTAACTTTGAAACCTTTGAACATGTTTGGAAATCCCCAAAAATCGGATGGATGGACTCCGTGGGCCTATCAAATTTTGTGTCCAGCGTGCTGAAGCAGATCAGCTCTCCCGCCATGAAAAAACCGATGTAGAAGAGCATGCAATAGTTCCTACACGAAGCTTGCAATGGCCCAATGCTGGAAATGTGGCCCACACATACGATTTTTCCTCAAAGCAAGACCATGACTTCGTGGCACTCCAAGAAATGCAAGAGTTGACAATGCCTTGCATCAAAGGGCCAGCGACAAGGGAAATGGCCCGTTGCACAAATGCAATATCAATCTAGGATCCTTTCTGACTGCAGATCTCGGTCGACGGCTGGTTCGACAACTGAAACATCTGATTGATTCTGATTGGACAACTGTGGTTTGGCAACTAAAAACGTCTGGTTCAAAAACTACAAATGTCTGGTTCGACAACTAGAACTGTCTGGTTCGACAACTAAGGATGTCTGGTTTGAACCAGAATAATCCAGGAACCAACGCTAAATAAACACTATGCCATGAGTAATCAGGAGATATCATGAGATATCATGAGCTATCGAACCTGGAGGTCCACCTGACATTTCCTCTCGAGTCACTTCTCGTCATTCAGAATGGAAGGGTTTCCTTCTTTAGAAACCGTCAGAAATTTATATATGCTCTTCTAAGTTCAGGATGTTCAGGGAAACTCTCTCACACACTTCATCACAGCCCTTGAAGCTCCCTGGAGACTCGTCATAAACCAGGCAGAACATCGAACTCGCTACAAATGCTGTTGCGATCAAGATTCTCCAGCGGATACAAAGCAAAGACTCGCGTCGCCTCGTCCAAGCTCTGCCTGACACCCAGCCAACTTATAAGTGCTGATGTGTCCTCAGGCTGATCAGGTTTTCATGTCAATTCCTCACCCTAAAAGGACATAAACAGATGTGCCATGGTCAAAACATGGCTATGGGTCGTGGTCATCCATCCCACAATAAGAATCCTTATGCTGGGTACAGTATCCAAATCCTTATGCTCCATTCCCAATAGGAGCAATTCACCCAAGTTTTGACCATGGCACCCGTGAGTACTAATTGACTACTGCCATCTACTGCCCACTCTTTCTGTCAAGTCACGCCTCGATGTGTTTTAATTACTCCAAAAAGCCAAACAAGCTGCTTCACTTGAGCAGTTTCACCATATTTGACTGGTGAATTCTGGCGAGTTTTCCTTTTGAGGGTTCAACTCAAACTCCTGAGGACAACCAGATTGCGAACTGCTTGCCGGGTCGCCAAGCCCGACGGATGTGTGTTAAGCACTCGACCTGCTTGCGTGAGAAACTCCTTCTTTGTTGGACAACTGAAGAAAAACACCAGCGATGCCTTAGTGCGTTGGCAAACCTCTTGTCATGTCCTCCACATTTCTTCACAATATGCAAATCTACAAAATAATCAAACTTCAACAAATAATCAAAAAAAGAAAAACATCCAAGCAGCCAAGTCTCTACGAGGCTTATGACGGCCAAACCAATAAACGAATCTGAAATGCTGTAGCCATGTGCCGCCAGAATGCTCATGCACAATCCCAAGCCTGAAAGCACCATGTGATCAAAGTGATCCCAACTCTTTGACAAGATCAAATTTTAACACACAGACAGAACAAGCGTCTCCAACTGCGCGTTTGGATTCACCGCTTGCACAGATAGAGAAATGGACGGTTGAAGAGGAATAGATGAAGGAAGGCACTGACAAATGAATGTCCGATACCTTAAAAGATAGCAGAGGCAAATATGGATGCACTTGAAATTCTGATAGAAAATTGGGATGAGTAAGGTCAGTTGCCGTCAATATGCAATCGTCAGTTTCAAATGTTACATCCTTCCAACCTTGAGTGTTTCTTGAGCTTTGCTCGTTGTCAGGAACTGCAAATCCCACCAGTAGCCGACAATCACATGACATTCTCCTGAAAGTACATAAACATATGAGCCATGTTCTAAATGTCTTACATCCTGGCACCAAATAAGGAACTTACGCCATTGCTTACGTTTTGCTTACGCGCGCACAAGTTTTGCTTACGCGCATATCTTTTCTTACGCGGAGCTTACGCTGGCTTACGCACACCACAGTTTTGCTTACGCCACACCCTTACAAGGGGCCCCTTGCTTAACATCATGAACACAAGGGTTTAGAACGTGGCTCATATGTTGAATAACTACAACTGTGTATGTGTGTATATATATATATATATCTATATATGAAATTATAATATACTTTTACCCTGGGATGCCCTGCAATGCCTCGGGCCTCCAGACGCTTGAGTCGCTGCATTGCTAAGACCAATGAAAACAGCTTGCACCTACCATGACTTGAAAGATGGCAGTTGGTAAGGGGCACCTTCATCTGCTTGGGAGATGGAACCACTCTGTAGTTGCGGCATGCATGCAGTTAACTTCAAAAGCGAACTCACAAACAACAACAACAACAACAACAACAAGAACAACAACAACAACAAAAACAACAAACAACAAACAACAAACAACAAACAACAAACAACAAACAACCAACAACCAACAACCAACAACCAACAACCAACAACCAACAACAACAACAACAAGAACAAGAACAAGAACAAGAACAACAACAACAACAGCAGCAGCAGCAACAGCAGCAACAGCAACAACAGCAAATTTAGAAAACAGTTCTTGCAATTGTATTTCCAAACTCTAAAGGCTTTAATGCAATGCATTACACCAATCAGCCACCGGTTTCACACTAATTCGCCAAAATCTGCCTTGGGATAGTGCCACATAAATGCAAGAATGCCTTTGTTTGCTTTGGGCCAAGAGCGAATCTGGTTTCCAAACCACAGGCCATCCCAGTGCTAGTGCTAAGACCAAACAAAAGATTCATGTCTTTTTCATGTCTTTTTCATGTCTTTCTGTGTCCAGTTGCCGAAAGATGCCAGGTTTCCTCCGAGATCCCCAAACATCAGGCCAACGTACATCAAAGCACATTGCGTCGATGGCCACTCCTGAGTTCAGTGCTCAGGGTTCAGTTCTTCCATACATCTATATACACTGCTGATCACAAACCCATGCGGATATGAAATTCATTCAATTTACAGCGCAACCTTAAGACTGAAGACTCAAAACCTCGGAGAATCTTTCACGTACTCAGTTCGTATGACGACATTACACATAATGACAGAGATCATTTTCTTACACATAAAGACCGAGATTATGCAAGATCTCTATCTGCCCTGAAGCTCTTGCAGCTCAAGTTTCCTCCCCATCCAGATTGACACCAATGGCCAACATACCACAGCACACGGCCAAGGTCAACGCTCCAAGTGCAGCTCCTTTTTGAGGCCCGAAGATATCCTTGACGTGACTACCGGACGACTTTCTGCACGGGGATGCTTATTGAATCCGGCGACGAGTAAGAAGAAAACACTATGTGGCCAGAACAGTTTGAAGAGTGAGCATTCTCAACACTCTGCAATTGGGAATTGGCAAAGCTGCTTCCGAGTCTCGTATGCACAGCCAACCAGGATGAAAAAACGCAATTGCATGGAGAAAGTGGTTGCCTGAGCTGGCGCCGCTGGGTCTAAAATCACAAGCTCAGCGACTTTGAAATCTCAGCAACATGAACACCCAAAGTAGCGCTAGCCATCGAGCGTCTCAGGAATATATGTCTGTTAAAACCAAGCATATGCTAGCCCTGGCGTAAGGTGCACACGAGAGACTCCCGAGAACCTCCCAAAGTTGTGAATGATGCATCGAGGGCAATTCAACAATCCAATCTAGGTCAAACATGTCTATCCTTTTGGGACAAAAAGACTTTCATCTATGAAATGGAAGTAGAATTAATACCACTGCATTGGCTTTTGAGCAAATCGCTTAGCCTGGAATCCAGAAACAGACGTTGCCACTGAACCATACAAAGACTTTCAGAAAAGCCAACGATCATGATTGAATGTGCCACTCGTATCACGGAAACGAGGGAGCAATGGCTTCTCAGCAGTCAAGAAACGTAGACATCTCGAAGTGCTGCCCTCTGCTGGCCACATTGACTCGTACCATGCTCACAAGCCCATTTGAAGACCCCGGATGCAGCCAATGCACCGTTATAGAGTGGAAAGGCACCTAAGATGTTGGAAATTGTTGGAACTGATAAGGAAATCACTTCAAGCGACACTTCAATGCACCAATATGCCTGGCAGATCCCAGCAGAATGCTATCAAGTGACTGACCGGCCCTGCCGATAAAATGCCAAAAAAGGTAACCACGGCGACCAGGCAATGAGTCTTCCAGGTATATGCGCCAGTAGTGTCTCCCATCATGGCCTTCACTGAAAGACATTGAGACCACCATCACAATTTTGTTTATATGATGACGATTTCATACAGCAAACAATTAAAATCGACAATGACAATATTTTTTTGTGCTCAACATTCACAAATTCCAAGCTGCAGCTCCTATCTTGGCCGACGAGACGACTGTGCAGCGCTGAGCTGTGCAGTTCTTGCTAAAACTTGAATGTGGCTCTACACATGCTAGCCAAATCAACATAGTTACGCATTTATGCTACAACCAAATTTGCATCACCCAGAATCGACCGGTACTTCGGAACCCCGCCATAGCGCCATCCCCGGTCTTCTGCGCATTTTTCAGCTTTTCCCGGTTCTTTGCGATGAGAGGTTGCATCGCGCTTGCACTTGCAGTGTAGGCAGCAGCTGTTTGACTCTCCCTGTGCGCTGCGAACCCAAACCAATGAGAGAGCAAAGTAGCCAACAGAAGTATTTATAGAACATCATAGAATATCATATATATATATTTATAGAACATCATTGAATCATTTATATGATATGATATGATATGTATGTATAGCTGTTCAAATATTTAGAACAGCTTGTTGAAAAGCTTGCTGAATGTGCATCTGAGAGGCTCGTCGTCCTCGCCGGTGGGAGTTGGAAGATTGTTCAAGGTCGTTTCTAGGTGTTGTCGGACCGAAACGGCTAAATCTCGCGCATTCGGAACCACGTTCTTCGCCACCTGCAAGGATTTGGAGACTTTCCGACCCGAATGAAGATTTATTCAGTTATCCTGCAACCATCTTTATCTTCTTTGGATAGCTGAATCTGTTCGGTTCAATGTCAGTGTCATATCTTGATCATGGAAATCTTCAAAAAATAGCAATGGATAGCATGTACAATCATGTACATAGCGTCCAGTTTTGTTATTACATGTTACATGTTCTCACTGTCGTCAGAAATTCGCCATCCAAAAGCTCCGGCCTGGATAGTGAGTGTCATCACTCCAGAGGAGCCACTGGTGCAAACGTTTAAGGCCAGGCCCTGAAAAAACACATGGCTGCATTGAATATTCTCCAGCACCTCGAAGCTGTCGTACCTCAGTACCCTCCGGTAGCCTCCAGTAAACTAACATAGCTATTGAAAATTGCTCGTTTATAAATTAGTTGATTTACCTCATATAAGTGATGATTTTCCATAGTCATGCTAATTTACCAGAGGGTAAACAGACTATAACATGACTGGTATATTGAACTCCGGCATCCTTGGTGGTGGACAAGCTGGTCCCTATTTTTGGCTGCCCTGTACAGTGCTTTTCCCACATGTTCATTCCTTGATTTCAAATGATCAATCTAATATAATCTGGAATCTGGAAAATGTAATTATTATCATTGATTATCATCATATATCGTATATTTAACATATTTAACTAATGTTGCTATATAGTATCATCCAAACATCTCATATCCGACGTGCCAAGTTGCTGTCCAAAAGAAGACAATATTCCCAGGCTGGAGATCGTCGCTTGTGTGCCATGTTCGAACCTCAGCTGTATTCAACACAGGAGACACGGCCAAGTACTTACCGGATTGAGATTGCATCTTTGCATGGCTGTACTTTAATAGACCGTGTAAGTTAATCTAAATGTTAGATGGGTAACACATGGTTGTAATTAATAACATTGCAATATCACTTCATTGTCCTCCAAGTATCAAACCAGTAAACCATGATGCTGATAATTGTTGTCGCATGTACAAAGATGCAAAATGGAACTCGTTGCTACTTGTCTTGATTCCTCCCATCAAACCAGATCATATATAGTATGTCATACCTTCATGGCCAGATTCAGATGTGATCAGAACACAAAAACAGATCCTACTGATCCAGCGTGATGCCGCAGGTCGCTGTATGCAGCTGTATGTCGCTACAGTACGGACCAACTGATGACATGTACCAGCTAAGCCATGCATTGTCACTTTTCGCCCACGTTCCATGCAAAGCGGACGCCTAGGCCTTCAACAGTTTCAAAAGCATGCCAATGTAAGATAGTCCTACCGATTACACCCGATTACCTGTCTTCCGGGTCCCCCATGTCATCCTCTCATGATTTGCCCATGGCGCATTGCACTCATAAGCTCTGGCGTCATCCGATTCATCAGCTTGAGACGATCTCGGGAGCTCATGCCCTCAAGACAGGCAGTGCAGCAAGGTCGGTTCTTTGGTGAACGCTGCAATCCATAAAAATCACAAAAAAATGATACAAGCCGAAGGAAATCACAAACGTCACTCAGGGATCATCCGTTGGATGCCTTGAGAGTAAACACTGGTTCTTCGGCCCGCTGAAGGATTCAAATCAGCTGCCCTGCATTGCACCTGCCTCCTTGTTTCATTGAGAGGTTGGCCACCTATTATTGCCCCTCAGCCAAGACATTAATTACGGAGAATTCACGAGCCACTAGGTGTTTCTGTCATCTATCTCCGAAACTCAGTTTGAGTCGGGCATCGAATTCAATAGCAAAGGCAGGCCAACTGCACTGTTTCTCCATGACACGTTCAAGGAAATGCCTTGCATGCCTGAAGCCACAGGATATTTGGATCTCCACACAAGAAGAGATCGAAAACTGCCAAGGCTGCCACAGCTGTCAAATAAGCCACACCTTGCTGTCTTCCAAAAATCTGGCTGGACTTCGCTGTGAAGAATCACCTTCGGATTCAGCACCGGACACACAAACATAAACGAATTTCTTGCTGAGAAAGAATAGCGAACAAGGTTCATTATAAATGTAATCTTATATAGCAGGGACACCAAAAGATCAAGCAACTCTGACCAGCCTGGCTAGCAAAGTTTCCCATCTCCTGCGATTGGCACAAGTTTGAAGAACACGGCATAGAATTTGGGGTAACAAGACAATTTCTGACCATTGATACTATTGCCCAGGGCCGTATGATATGATTTTGCTTGATTCACTGCTCGGATTCGGCACATCCCTACGCGAGCTCGCTACTTTTGTGGTATGCGAGATCTCTACTTATATCGTCTTGACCCGCCAACTTTGTCAAATTGTGGAGCGAGAACAGTGCTTGCGCAGCGCACCTACCCCAATACCTGAAAACGTATACTGAGAGGCATCAGCACTTGCAAACAGTCTTGCCTAGATGAGTACCCGCCTAGACTCTCCCCCTGTCTCAAATAGATACCTTTAGGATTCCGTGAGTTCTTGGAATGGGGCTGTGGGAACGCAGGCTCACAATGAGTGGGAAGCTAGTGCCCATTGTATCGTAAGCCCCTGTGCCTTTGTTTAAGTTCAGGCAAGAATACATGTCACTTGCTTTGAAACCTCCAGTCAGTTCTCTAATGGGAATAAGATATATATAGACTATATCATCACATCACATTGATACTAGATGTGCAATGTGCATACAATATGGTTTCAAGACTGGTTTGTCAAAGGCCAAGGGGTGTAGAGGCTGGTATGAAGGGGTGGTACACGGCAAAGTCGACAGACTAGACTATGTATTTGTGACTAAAAATTGCTGTATTTGTATATTGTATAATTATATTATATATTATATAGATAATTATGTATATATATATACATATAATAATATTGTACTCTAAGTGACTAAAAACCGGTTATATGGATGTCAAGACGAAGAGATGATGGATGGTCAAAGCATCGTGAGTCAGGATCTCCAGCCAAATACAGTGGTCAGTCTCAAATAAGGAGAAAAAAACACAGAAGCAAGAACAAGTTCACTCAACATTCTATCAAGGCTTTGCGGAAGCGACTCCTGCATGTATTGCTTGTCCAGGAAAGATCGTTCGTTCACCAAAATTCCGATGGAGACAGCGTCACTCTCAAGTCCGCGTTTGTAGAGCTCCAACAAAGTTGCATGTTGCCTTTGTGATTGGTAAATTCTCCCTGCCCCACGGCTAAGCAGCATGTCAATTTAGCATCCGTTTTTGGTTACTCAATGGTGTCTGACTATGTCCGAATAATACTCTGAAGAACTAGAAGCGCACACAAATTCAGAGCGAAGCAATCAATCCCGGCCCATACCACTGTAATTCAACATCATGCATCCAAACGAATCAGGAAGCGGGCATCGTTAGCACCACCACACATGGTGCAGAGGAGCAGGGTTCAGTAGGCAGTAGACAAAACGACATAGTGAATCTTAAGTCGGGTTGATGATTACAAGAATGTCGCAACATCTTTGATTCCAAGCCTCTTATTGCCTAAGCAAGCAAAGATCACCAAAGATTGTTGCATTTTCGCCTCACCTGTTTGGCGCCAAACGTTCTTTCCTTCTTTCTTCATGTTGCTAAGGCCTTAAGTTTGGTACGGTACACTTTTGTTGGGGTATTGCTCTCTCAAGCATAACAACCACCCATCTTTGTGGATCAGGCCTTAGCCAAATCATATTTCTGATCTGACCCTGGAGTGTTCGCTTCTGAAGGTCTAGGGATAGTCTTTCCGTACATATCCATAGTACGAGTACGGGTGGTAACTTACGCCGCAACCTATAATCTTACCCCACCGCATGGCACACAGCTTACCCCACAACAACCTAAAGAACTTGTGCCATAGCCAAATCACCACGGCACACCAACACCTATCCATTTATGTGCACATTGTTTTCATGAAATTCCTATGTGGGCTGCAACGCTTTGTACCGTTTTTTATCTGTCTTAAACCTGACACAAAGCGTTGTAAACTGCATGGCACACCACCAACTTGACCTTCTACTGTTCTCTCTTCTGTGTGAGTCAAGCTATTGAGAAGCCATCCCCATGAGTTTCTATCTCAAAAAGAATATGTCTCAAAAACATGTGTGCCCCTGCAAAGTGTTAGAAAAATCAATGCCACAAACAATTGATTCATCCAGTAAGAATGACATGTATATCATGGACTTCCCAACGGCACACTGTTTGCCGCACAAGAAGACAACCGCGGCATAAGTTACCACCCTGACCCTGTACATTGATTGCTGTCCATTGCAGGCTAGGCCTCTGAGAGTTCGGAATTTGGATGGTCACATACTCAAGCAGAGGGTTTCCAGGCAGGGGTTTTGTGCTAGTGAAGGTGTTCCATTGAACCTATGATAGTTGCTTAGCTATGTGCTACCCATCTTCCGCATGGTACGAAGGTCAACTCCAGAATCAAATCCTTTTTCCAGTCTGGACATCCAAAATGTCTGGACAACTCTTGGCTTTGCATCATCAACTGCTCGTAGAGCCGATCTGCCTCCACCAGGAATCGATAGTCGGGTTGCTGTGAAAGTTGCTGGACATAGTCTTTCACTCGCCTCACCTAAGGGGCAGGTCATTGACAAAATTGAAAAAAATCAGTCCAGAACGGGGAAATGTTTGTTGTGGCTGAAGAAATTGAGTTTTGGGCAAAAATGAGCTACTTCCTGCTCACAGCAAATCTATTCTCACTGAGAAACTGTTTGTATCCTTCCCGTCCCTAAAAAGAAAAGATGTGTTGGAGACTAGTCTGAAAAGGGTGCTGATCCAAGTAGTCTCCAAAACATTTTGTTTTTGCTTAGTTCTTGGATCAATCAGAATTAGTCCTGATTGATCTTGCCTCTGAGTCTCTGAGGCATCATCTGTTCATCAAATGCATCTTTGCCAATCCCTCTCAAATTCATCAAATGCATAGAAAATTTGGCACGTGTAAATGAAAGAGGTTTCTTTAAAAGCAAGGCATGCTACATATTTTTGCAACGGAATGCTGTATGCTGAAAGCATACAGTACTATACATCCCCCTTGGAATTTGGGGGGTTGGGTTGGGGGAGCCAAAACGTAGAGGCACCCAACCCCAAACTCCCTACAAAATGGTTTTTAAATGTTTTTTTGATGAAAAACATTTAAAAACCATTGTGTAGCAATTATTTTACAAACCATTTTGTAGAAATAACTTCAGATATCTTCAGATTTCCAGGAATTTTATAAACCATTCTGTAAGGCTCAATCATTTTTGAATCAATGAGTTTACATTTTCCCAAAAAAACTACAAACCATTTTGTAGGGATATTCGTTGTTTTTAGAAAAGAACCAAAACCATTTTGTAAAGGCAACACCAACCTCTGGCCAAATCCCAAAAAAACATATAAAACCATTTAGTAGTATTCCTTGAAAAAAAATCAGGTGTTTTTCATTTTTCTGAAAAAACATCAAAACCATTTTGTAAAGTTGTTCAGCACATAAACCCATCTGTGAAAGTTCCCCCCCAAAAAAAACAAAACCATTTTGTAAAACCAAACCTATTTGTGAACTATGGATTGACATTTTTCAAAAAAAAACTATAAACCATTTTGTAGGTTTGTTCGTTGTTTTCGGCAAAAAACTACAAAACCATTCTGTAAGGCTAAATCATGCTAAATCTATATATATAAATCTGTGTCTATCTGTATGTAAAAGATTGTAAAAGATTGTAAAAGTAGATTCCAGATGATTCCAGAATCATCGTGAATCATCCAGAATCCCCTTCCCACCACTATCATCCACTATCATCATCTATCATCCAGTATCATCCACTATCCACCGCTCCCATCACCATGCATCACCATGCATCACCATGCATCACCATGCATCACCAATATTCACCAATCATATCCATTCATATCCAATCATCACCATGCATCACCATAAACAATCATCACCATGCATCACCAGGCACGAAACCATGTGAATCTGGCGTTTCTTTTTTTACCCCTGTGGCTGCGGCACTTTGTCGTTCCATTGCTGAATAGCTACGCATAGCCAAACTACCGGCAGCAAACCTCTGCACTGGCTGCACCCAACTGTCTCACATCTCACAAAACAATATAAAACAATGCAAACAATCCCACTTGGAATTTGGGGGGTTGGGTTGGGGGAGCCAAAACATAGAGGCACCCAACCCCACCCCACTACAGAATGGTTGAAGGCTCCCTACAAAATGGTTTTTTAAATGTATTTTGAGGAAAAACATTTCAAATACCATTGTGTAGCAATTATTTTACAAACCATTTTGTAGAAATAACTTCAGATATCTTCAGATTTCCAGGAATTTTATAAACCATTCTGTAAGGCTCAATCATTTTTGAACCAATGAGTTTACATTTTCCCAAAAAAACTACAAACCATTTTGTAGATGTATCCGTTGTTTTTTGAAAAGTACTAAAGCCATTTTGTAAAGCCAAACCCAATCTCTGGCCAAATCCCAAAAAACATATAAAACCATTTAGTAGTATTCCTTGAAAAAAAATCAGGTGTTTTTCATTTTTCTGAAAAAACAAAACAATTTTGTAAAGTTGTTCGGCACAACAACCCATCTGTGAAAGTTCCCCCCCCAAAAAAAACATTTTGTAAAACCAAACCTATTTGTGAACTATGGGTTGGCATTTTTCAAAAAAAATATAAACCATTTTGTAGGTTTGTTCGTTGTTTTCAGCAAAAAACTACAAAACCATTCTGTAAGGCTAAATCATGCTAAATCTATATATAAAAATCTGTGTCTATCTGTATGTAAAAGATTGTAAAAGATTGTAAAAGTAGATTCCAGGTGATTCCAAAATCATCATGAATCATCCAGAATCGCCCTCCCACCATCTCCCACCACTATCCACCACTCCCATCACCATGCATCACCATGCATCACCATGCATCACCATGCATCACCATGCATTACCATGCATTACCATGCATTACCATGCGTTACCATGCATCACCAGGATTCACCATGATTCACCAGGATTCACCCGGCACGAAACCATGTGAATCTGGCGGTTGTTTTTTTTTACCCTTGTGGCTGCGGCACTTTGTCGTTCCATTCCTGAATAGCTACGCATGCCAAACTGCCGGCAGCAAACCTCTGCACTGGCTGCACCCAACTGTCTCACATCTCACAAAACAATAAAAACAATACAACACATTCTTCATAATCTTCATCATTCATCACAAAGTCACTACAGATTGGTTCTGTAATTTTCTTGGAAATCAGCACTGCGCACTGAAAATGACTACAGATTGGTTTTGAAATTTTCTTGGAAATCAGCACTTATCACAAATGAAAACACAAAGTCACTACAAATTGGTTTTTCAGTTTTCTTAGAAACCAGCACCGAACCACCGACAAAGTCTACAGTTTGGTTTATGATTTTCTTGGCCAACACTGAATGGGCACTTTTTAAAAACCAAGTCACTACAGATTGGTTCTGTAATTTTCTTGGAAATGAGCACTGAGCACTGAAAATGACTACAGATTGGTTTTGTAATTTTCTTGGAAATCAACATTTGGCACTTTGAGAACACAAAGTCACTACAGATTGGTTTTTTAATTTTCTTGGAACCCAGCCTCAACTGGCCGATAATGTCTACAGTTTGGTTTATAATTTTCTTGGCCAAAATTGAATGGGCACTTAAAAAAAACAAAATCACTACAGTTTGGTTTATCAATTTTTTTGGGCACTACAAAATGGCTTCACCCAACCCTTCCAAAAAAGCTAAAAAAAAGACCTATATCATTTTGGTTCCGTTTCTGGGGGTTAACCCCTACCATTTTGTAGAGGAAATTCCAAGGGGGATTACTATACAACGAAGAGTGAATCTGTGGAAAGGGAACATGACTTCCTAAAATATTGTTTTTTCCAAAGAAATGCATCAGAGTTTGCAAGGACACTTTTTAATTCCCAAGTCGCCTTTGCACGGATAGTGTTTCTTTTAAAAACACTGTATTGCATTGATGAAGGGAATAGTTTGACTAGAATGAAAGATTTCCGCTTCAATACAAAGCACATCAAAGCACTTTACATCTTTGAGGAATGCTACCCTTGAAACATTTTGAATATTTTTCAGGAATATGATCCCGTTTCAAGGAAAAATAAAAATTTGAAAAACACATATGTTTTCTGCTGCAAGTAACCAAAAAATACATAAACAGATTGTTTGTTGAAGGAGGAAGAATTTGCCTACACATTCCTGGCACTGCGCAAGAAATCAGCTTCTGGGTATCTGGAAGAAAATGCTATATCGATGGCATGGAACAAACTCAGTATATCCGCCGACCCCAGCTTGCAGCAAGGGGGGTGCGTCATCTTGAAAGCTGGCGGCTGCTCTTGGCATTCTTCTTAGACCGGGCAGAAAGCAACGTTAGGCCTTCAGGCCGGGCAGCGGCGCGAAGCCTTCCGTCCTTCATTGCCATGCTGTTAAAGCGTGGCGAAGGGTCCGTTTTTCCGAGCTGGCGGCTCCTCTTGGCATTCTTCTTTGACCGCTCAGAAAGCAACATTAGGCCTTCAGACCGGGCAGCGGCGAAGCCTTCCGTCCTTCACTGCCATGCTGTTAAAGCGTGGCGAAGAATCCGTTTTTCCGAGCTGGCGGCTGAGAAAGCGACGTTAGGCCTTTTGACCGGGCAACGGCGCGAAGCCTTCTGTCCTTCCCCATGCTGTTACAGCATGGCGCGGCGAAGGGTCCGTTTTTCCGAGCTGGCGGCTGCTCTTGGCATTCTTCTTCAACCGTTCAGAAAGCAACGTTAAGCCTTCAGACCGGGCAGCGGCGCGAAGCCTTCCGTCCTTCACTGCCATGCTGTTAAACCGTGGCGAAGGGTCCGTTTTCCCTTCCGTCCTTCACCGCCACATTGTCTTTTTTCCCACAGCATAAGATAGGGTCTTCAGCCCAGAATAGCTCCGGTGTGCACTGGTGCAGGCACCGGGTCAGGTTATGTCAGGTTCAACGAGGTTCCGGAGAAGGTTCCGAAGGCTCCAGAGAAGGTCTGGGAGGCTTTCGAGCAGAGCCAGGTCAGGTTCAACAGGGTTTGGGAGAAGGTTCTGGAGAAGGGCTGGGAGGCTTTGGTGCAGAGCCAGGTTCAACAGGTTTCGGAGAAGGTTCCGGAGAAGGTCTGGGAGGCTTTGGTGCAGAGCCAGGCCAAGTTCAACAGGGTTCGGGAGGCTTTGGTGCAAAGCCAGGTCATGTTCCAAGAAAGTTCCGGAGAAGGTCTGAGGGTTCCGCAAAAGGTCTGGGAGGCTTTGGTGGAGAGCCGGGTCAGGTTCAACAGGGTTCCGGAGAAGGCTGCGGAGAAGGTCTGGGAGGCTTTGGTGCAGAGCCAGGTCAAGTTCAACAGGGTTCCCAAGAAAGTTCCGGAGAAGGTTCCGGGAGGCTTTGGTGCAGAGCCCGGTCAGGCCCAACAGCGTTCCCAAAAAGGTTCCGCAAAAGGTCTGGGAGGCTTTGGTGGAGAGCCGGGTCAGGTTCAACAGGGTTCCGGAGAAGGCTGCGGAGAAGGTCTGGGAGGCTTTGGTGCAGAGCCAGGTCAGGTTCAACAGGGTTCCGGAGAAGGTTCCAGAGAAGGTTCCAGGAAGCCTTGGTGCAAAGCCAAATCAGATTCAACGGGTTCCGGAGATTTGTAAAAATAAAATGTTGCGGCCGTTGGGGATACCACCGAAGCTTATTTTTTACTTAATTTTGTTGCTATCCGGTGAAACACAAGCGGCTGCATCAAGAGCCCACCTGCAGGAAGCCATCCAAACACATCTTCAAACAACATGTGATTTGGGATGCTAATGTTTCAGATTGCCCACGTAGATTACGTGTTTACAAACATGAGACATTAAAAGACTAGAACTGTGGTATTTACGCGGGTTCTTGCCATCTGACAGCGCTAAAATGCTGTAAATTACAGCACTTTGTGCGCTGTTTATGTTCAATTTTTAAACGCGCAATGCTTTCACATGTTCTTTGCATTCTTCCACAAGAAACAACGTTGCAGATTGAAACTGGACGACAGCGTGACCCGAAAGAAAGCTGGAGGGCGGAGACGCACAGAAGCTTTTACACACACAGGGGGCTTTTACACAGAGAAGTCTTTACACAAAGGAGATTTTTACACACAGGTGGTCTTACACAGAAAAGTCTTTACTCTAAGGAGCTTTTGCACACAAACGTCTAGGAGCTTTTACACACAGAAGTTTTTACACGAAGATCTGTACACAGAGGGTTTTTTTAACACAAAGGCGCGTTTGCACACAGAAGCTTTTACACAGAGAAGCCTTGACACATGAGGAGCTTTTACCCACAAAAGCGTTTACACACAGCAAGCTTTTACACACACAGGGGCTTTTACACAGAGAAGCCTTTACACAGAGGAGCTTTTTACACACAGAAGGTTTTACACAGAGAAGTCTTTACTCTAAGGAGCTTTCGCACACAAACGTCTTGGAGCTTTTACACACAGAAGCTGTTACACAGAGACGTCTTTACACAGAGAGCTTTAACACACAAACGCGTTTACACACAGAAACTTTTACACAGAGAAGCCTTTACACAGAGAGTTTTTACACACGGAAGCTTTTATACACAGAGAGTTTTTTACACAGACGCGCTTTCACACACAGAAGGAAGCTTTTACACAAAGAAGTCTTTACACAGAGTGGTTTTTACACACAGAAACTGTTACACACGCAAGCTTTTACACAGAGAAGTCTTTGCACAGAGGCGCCTTTACACGAAGTAACAAGTTGAAATTGGCAGATGTTGGCAGCAGTTCTTTAGGAAAAACCCTTTGCAGGAGCTTTCGGGAACTCACTTGCTCCCCAAAAAAACGTCTATTTCCAACAAAGATGTTCCAAACAACCTAAGGAATATATTTCTGAAGCAGGTCCTCATTCAATAGCTTTCAAGCCCACACTGCAATGAAATGGAGGGTCGAATAATCCGGCGGAGCCGACGATGAGCGTCAGCTCAAAAATAAAGGAACACTTGACCTGTGAAACGCCAAGATTCCGCACTCACAACAAGCCCTTGTGATGCGTCTAGGACCTACAAGTAGGAATAATATGTTTTGACCCTTCCCCGCCTCGACCTCCCCACGCTTTGCCCCTCGTCTTCCCGTCTTCTTGGCTCTTTGGCCGGCCTCGCGGGCTGACACCAGCAAGCTCTGGAGTGTCTCAGCTCGCAACACCCTTTGAGGCTGAAGGCCATCCAGCAAAAAGAGGACGATGCAGCGTACCGTTGCATCAAAATCATTGGAGAAGTGCGACAAGGAAACCGAAAGGACATCTCGGCGACCTTTCCAAGACTTCATATTGTACATCATCTTCAGCATATCCCAACTGGAACGAGCAATTTCTGTCTTTACGCCATCCTCCATGGAACTCCTTCGCAAGAGCTTTTCGTAGGAGCAGTTGAAGTTGCTGGTAGAGAAGATATTTTTCCAGGCTTGGTGGTCACAAGCATCACAGTTTGGCGGATCAGTAAGCGTTTGCCAAGCTTCACGTGAGCGGATGTGGTAAAGGTATCCAGACACGACCATATCACTGGGTTTTCGCACCATATGCACTGCTTTTCCCAGCCCTGGCACTAGGTAGTTCGAGCTGATCTCCTCCCTCATCATCTCCATGGGGGATAGCCAGTATGTGATCACACGCTGCAGAAGACTTCGATGAGTTTGGAGGTAGACACCGCCCTGATAAGTTGGAATGTGACGTGTACTGTAAGATTTTGCCCAGCCAAAATTTCTGAATCCCCGACCAAGAAGAAGCAGGCTTAGTTCAGGAAGGGTTGCTATGACATAGGACAGCGAGGCACCAGATTTGTGGTAAGCCACAATGGCGAACCGGGAAATGTTTTGAGACACTGGTTTCACACTGCGGATGTCAGTTGGAAACAGTACTCTGGCCCATAACCGTGTTGTCAGATTTCTGTCTTGTAGGGAGGAACAGCAGCGGCGCACCTCCCATCCTTGCAGTTCGGAGCCGAAGCATTCTTCGCTACCAAGGCCATCGTAGCGCACCAGATCACAGCAAATCTTCCACAGGTTCTTCCGCGGCACACCAGTCCGATTCAAAACAGCCTTGCATGCCATTTTCTCACGGACATTGAAGGGCTTTGAAATGCCAGTAGTGTAAATTGAAATCCATAGCTTCATGATGCGGCGAAAGAATACGAACATATTTGAGATCAGGTATTGTCACCATGTCCAGGGTGCTGCTGCTCTAGTCACTATATACTGTACAGAAGAACAGCTTGAGCAGGAACGGATCGCATGCATGTCCATAAAACTCTCATGAGTAGCTCATGGACGTCTCAATATCCCAAAATACCTAAGATTCGCAGCATGTTGTGGTCAATCTCTTATGCTATGCCTTCTCTGTAGCTCTTGTGAAGAGTCATGCTCAATCAATGCTCAACCTTTGAATATGCCCAGGCCAGAGCGCAGGCGCCAAGGTGCATCGCTGCAATAATTGCACCTGTAATTGTCCTGGCTCCGCAGGACAGGAGCAGTCAAGGAAAGTTTGACATGTTTTGAGGTATCTGCATCAATCTACTTGCCCACTGCCTTTGTTGGTTCCTGCCACACTTGCATGAACGTCGATTGGACCAAATAGGTTAAAACATTTTCGCACATGTAATTAAATAGAACAGATTCACTTCTGGTTCTGTCAAGAGTCGTCCCAGCACTGCGGCTGATCTTTGCCATCTCTTTTGTTTTGGATGCATCAAATCGCAGAAGCTCAATGCAAATTCCCTCGAACAAGAGTTTGAAGTCCTAGGGCTTTCCAAGAGGAGGCATGCGCATCATGATTCATGATTCATGATGCAACCTGATTTCTCATACCCGAAATCCTGCAATGATCCATCAACAGGAAGAGTCCAACTTGCAAGCCCAGAATCTGGATGTCCAGGTCGAACAAATGTCTGGTGAATGGCATACCGCGGAACAGGAGGAAATTCTTCCTTGCAAGCGCCAAGTCAAATGCATATCATACATATATATTTATATATACAGATATGCATACAATATCAACAGATGGAACATATAATGATGTTGATATACCTCAAGCAAGAGCGGTTCAACCAGGAAGCACACATCTCCAACCCCTGCAGATCCTAGGCTCTTCGATTTGCTTCCAGTTCGCAAGCTCTTCTTTGCTCAACTTGCCCCTAAACTTTACGATTTCCTTCGTGCGCGGAGCAAGATGCTGGAACAGACTTGCGTCCTACTATCGAGTGTACCACTAGTACCCGCACAAGGAAGGGCGGAAGTTGCCTTAGGGATATACCATAAGACGTTTCTCATCTATAGACTATAGAACTTGCATGCGCCGTGCGCCAGCCAGGCCCGTGCATGCGTGCTTTGCGCGGAGCTGTTGCAGTGTTGTTGCCCAAGAACATGACCTGCGCGCGACCCCGGCGCAATGCAACGCCAAGCGAAGACTTTCTTCACACTTCGCACTGCACTCTTCACACCCCACACTTCACACTTCACACTTGCACCTCACACTCCACACTTCATCTCATCTCAAATCATGTGAGCTCTTCTCACCTCATCTCAGCTCTTCTCATCTCACCCCATCTCTTCTCGCATGTCATCTAAGTAAGTTCTTCTCAACTGTTTTCATCTCATCCGAGCACTGATCAACCTTTCTCATCTCCTCGAAGTTCGTCTCAACAGCTGTTCTCATCTCCTCGAAGTTCGTCTCAACTCGTCTCAGCTGTTCTGCACGCCAGAAATCCTTTGCACACAGAAGCTTGGGACACAGATGCTACTTTGTACCACAAAGCTTGCACAAAGCACTTCCCAGTACTACTTTGTACTGCTTGCACAAAGCCCTTCCCAGCACTACTTTGTACCACAAAGCTTGCACAAAGCACTTCCCAGTACTACTTTGTACTACACAGCTTGCACAAAGCCCTTCCCAGCACTACTTTGTACCACAAAGCTTGCACAAAGCACTTCCCAGTACTACTTTGTACTACACAGCTTGCACAAAGCCCTTCCCAGCACTACTTTGTACCACAAAGCTTGCACGAAGCACTTCCCAGTACTACTTTGTACTACAAAGCTTGCACAAAACACGTTCCAGCACTATACTTTGTGCTACAAAGCTTGCACAAAGCCCTTCCCAGTACTACTTTGTACTACAAAGCTTGCACAAAGCACGTCCCAGTACTACAAAGCTTGCACAAAGCACTTTTCAGCACTACTTTGTACTACAAAGCTTGCACAAAGCACTTCCCAGTACTACTTTGCACTACAAAGCTTGCACAAAGCCCTTCCCAGTACTACTTTGTACTACAAAGCTTGCACAAAGCCCTTCCCAGTACTACTTTGTACTACAAAGCTTGCACAAACTACTTCCCAGTACTACTGAAGTTACTACTGTGCACTACAAAGCTTGCAAAAGGTACTTCCCCGTATATACTAGTTTGTACTACAAAGCTTGCACAAAGCACCGTTCCAGTACTACTTTGTACTACAAAGCTTGCACAAGCCCTTCCCAGTACTACTTTGTACTACAAAGCTTTCACAAAGCACTTCCCAGCACTACTTTGTACTACAAAGCTTGCACCAAGCCCTTCCCAGTACTAGTTTGCACAAAGCACTTCCCAGTACTACTTTGTACTACAAAGCTTGCACACGGCTCTTCCCAGTACTACGTTGCACTACAGAACTTGCAAAAAGTACTTCCCAGTACTACTTTGTACTACAAAGCTTGCACAAAGCCCTTCCCAGTACTACTTTGTACTACAAAGCTTGCACAAAGCACGTTCCAGTACTCAGTACTACTTTGTACTACAAAGCTTGCACAAAGCACGTTCCAGCACTGTACTCTGTACTGCAAAGCTTGCACAAAGCACTTCTCAGCACTACTTTGTACCACAAATCTTGCACAAAGCACGTCCCAGTACTACAAAGCTTGCACAAAGCACTTCCCAGTACTACTTTGTACTGCAAAGCTTGCACACAGTACTACTTTGCACTAGAAAAAAGCTTGCACAAAGCACTTCCCAGTACTACTTTGTACTACAAAGCTTGCACGCGGCTCTTCCCAGTACTACGTTGTGCTACAGAGCTTGCAAAAAGTACTTCACAGTACTACTTTGTACTACAAAAAGCTTGCACAAAGCACTTCCCAGTACTACTTTGTACTACAAAGCTTGCACAAAGCGCTTCCCAGTACTACTTGGCAGAAAGCACTTCCCAGTACTACTCTGTACTACAAAGCTTGCACAAAGCACTTCTCAGTACTACTTTGTATTACAAAGCTTGCACAAAGCACGTTCCAGTACTCAGTACTACTTTGTACTACAAAGCTTGCACAAAGCACTTCCCAGTACTACTTTGTACTACAAAGCTTGCACATGGCTCTTCCCAGTACTACATTGCACTGCAGAGCTTGCAAAAAGTACTTCACAGTACTACTTTGTACTACAAAGCTTGCACAAAGGCTCTTCCCAGTACTACTTTGTACTACAAAGCTTGCACAAAGCACTTCCCAGTACTACTTTGCGCTACAAAGCTTGCACAAAGCCCTTCCCAGTACTACTTTGTACTACAAAGCTTGCACAAAGCACTTCCCAGTACTACTTTGTACTGCAAAGCTTGCACAAAGCGCTTCCATGTACTACTTTGTCAAAGGAAGTTGGGAAGCAATCTTCCGATTTACGGACAAATAGAAGTGTGAGACTTGACATTGATGAAGGGCGGCGTGAGACAAATTAGAATTGTGAGTCTTGACATTGATGAAGGGCGGTGTGAGACTGTGAGACTTGACATCACATAACAATACATCATACATCGCAAAAAATTATAGGCTATGACACAAGGGGTGGTGACGAAGGGCAGTGGTGACCTAGGGAAGTGGTGATGAAGGGAAGTGGTGACGAAGGGAGTGTGGTGAGTGCGGTGACTTTGGGAAGTGGTGACGAAGGGAGTGCGGTGACTAAGGGAAGTGGTGACGAAGGGAGTGTGGTGACTTTGGGACATGGTGACTAAGGGAAGTGGTGACGAAGGGAAGTGGTGAGGAAGGGAAGTGGTGCATGATGGGAAGTGGTGACGAAGGGAAGTGGTGACTTTGGGAAGTGGTGACTTTGGGAAGTGGTGACTAAGGGAAGTGGTGACTAAGGGAAGTGGTGAGGGAGTGTGGTGACGAAGGGCAGTGGTGACCTAGGGAAGTGGTGATGAAGGGAAGTGGTGACGAAGGGAGTGTGGTGAGTGCGGTGACTTTGGGAAGTGGTGACGAAGGGAGTGCGGTGACTAAGGGAAGTGGTGACGAAGGGAGTGTGGTGACTTTGGGACATGGTGACTAAGGGAAGTGGTGACGAAGGGAAGTGGTGAGGAAGGGAAGTGGTGCATGATGGGAAGTGGTGACGAAGGGAAGTGGTGACTTTGGGAAGTGGTGACTTTGGGAAGTGGTGACTAAGGGAAGTGGTGACTAAGGGAAGTGGTGAGGGAGTGTGGTGACTAAGGGCAGTGGTGACGAAGGGAGTGTAGACTTTACATCAGATGACAAAGAGAAGCGGTGACGAAGAGAAGTGGTGACGAAGGGAAGTGGCGTGTTGGCAGATCGCACTGGAGTGGCTGCATGATTGTTGTCATCCGGTGTTGCCATGTGCGTAGAGAAATGCAGGTTTGCTACGTAATGCTGCAAACCACAATGTAATGGCTCCATGAATGTTGCATGGGCTTTGTTGTGGGGAGGAAGCCGGAGCACGAAAGCTTGTGTTTTTCCGTGTAAAGTGGCTGCAGGCGGCAGTGAAAGGTACCTCCTGTGCCTTCCGGTCGTAATGGGTTCCTCCTCTGTGTTCTGCAACGACTGGTTGTTCCTGTGTGCGTAGTTCTATGCGTTTCTTGGATCTGTGGCTGCAGATCTCAATGCAATGGCTGCATGATTGTTGTCATCTGGTGTTGCCATGCGTGTAGATACATGCGGGTTAGCCACGTGATGCTGCAAAACGCATTGTAATGGCTGGGGCTTGTGTTGGGGAGGAAGCCGGAGAACGAAACCTTGTGTTTTTCCGTGTAAAGTGGCTGCAGGCGGCGATGAAAGGTACCTCCTGTGTCCAGCGGGTCCGGCTGGGGTCGTTCCGGGCGTAATGGGTTCCTCCTCTGTGTTTTGCAACGACTGGTTGTTCCTGCGTGCATAGTTCTATGTGTTTCTTGAATCTATGGTTGCAGATCGCTGGCTGCATGATTGTTGTCATCTGGTGTTGCCATGTATGTAGATACATGCGGACTGCAGCCGCAACCGCCGCACACACGAGGTACCTTTCATCGCCAGCTGCAACCACTTCACACGGTTTGGTGCTCCGGCTTCCTCCCCAACACAAGCCCCATGCAACATTCATGCAGCCATTAGAATGCGTTTTGCAGCATCACGTAGCAAACCTACACGTAGCAACGCACATGGCAACACCAGATGACAACAATCATGTGGCCATTCCAATGCGATCTGCAACCACAGATTCAAGAAACGCAAAGAACTATGCACACTGGAGCACCCCCTCGTTGCAGAACACAGAGGAGGAACCAATTTGCGGATGAAAAGAGACCGCAGCCGCAACCGCCGCACACACGAGGTACCTTTCATCGCCGGCTGCAACCACTTTACACGAAAAAACAGAAGGTTTGGTGCCCCGGCTTCCTCCACAACAAGCTCCATGCAACATTCATGCAGCCATTACAATGCGTTTTGCAGCATCACGTGGCTAACCCGCATGTATCTACGCACATGGCAACACGAGGTGACAACAATCATACAGCCATTACACGAGTGTCTTGTTATGTGATGCCAAGTCTCACACCACAGTCTCACACCACCCTTCATTGAGTGTATTCTTATGTGATGTAAAGTCTCACACCGCCCTTCATTAGGTAAGAGTCATCCTTAACTTGGAAGATTGCTTCCCAACTTCCTTTGATTGGGTGGTCTAGTGAGCTGGAAGAATGGCAAAGATCCTTCGTCCAAAATGCGTGCAACGGGTCTTCCAAAAAAGCTCCTTTCAAAATGATAGCGATTGCCTATTATTGCCTATCTTCTACCGGGGTGCTCCTCTGGATCCTTTCCATCCCCAACAAATCCTTAAAACTTTCTCTGCAATGGTTCTGTATAGTTCATATGGCTTTTGCACATCGGTACTTCTTTGCCATCGTAAAGTCGAAGCAGCTGAGACAGAGCGACCTTGAGGGGAAGATGAACAAGAGCAGGCTCAGCAACTCCATTGCAAATATGAAAGGCAAAAAACTCCAGGCTTGTCTCAGGTTTGTCTGCTTTTTTCAGGATGGCTGCCTATCTTGCCTCAATAGCTCGTCCATCCCCAGGACCATGCCGAAAGCCAAGGAGGAGCACCTCGGGGCGCTGTCACATGGTCAAACCTCATGTGAATAGGTACTGTGCTACTTTATCATGATGTTGATAATATGATATACACTAATTAATATATTATATTATCGAAGGAAGTTGGGAAGTCAAACTTCCGACAATATGGACAGATGAAAAGCAGAGGTGGGAAGAGTCAGAGAAGAGAAGAGAAGAGAAGAGAAGAGAAGAGAAGAAGAGAGAAGAGAAGAGAAGAGAAGAGAAGAGAAGAGAAGAGAAGAGAAGAGAAGAGAAGAGAAGAGAAGAGAAGAGAAGAGAAGAGAAGAAGAAAGAAGATCAAAAAAGATAAAGTCTCAGAAGAAAGAAGATGCAGGCAGGTGCGCGAAAAGGTAGGAAAGTCGCGACACGCTATATTTTTTCCAATGATTTGAGGCTCCGAGGGTCGAAAAGTAGGCTCGCCAAAGCGGCGGGTGCGGAGCCAGCTGGCCAGATGAGAGATGAAAAATTGCACGCCGTTGTGGCGCGAAGCACATTTCGAAGTCAAAATGTACAAAACACACCAGGTCCGGACCATTTTTGGAAGTTGAGATGTCGAAAAAGTGCACGCCGTTGTGGTGCGAAGCACGTTTGCAAGTGAAAAAGCTAAAAACACCTCATGTTCGGACCACTTTTGGAAGTTGAGATGTCGAAAAAGTGCACGCCGTTGTGGCGCGAAACACATTTGCAAGTGAGAAACCTAAAAACACTTCACGTTCGGACCACTTTTGGAAGCTGCGATGTCTAAGAAGTGTACGCCGTGGTGGCGCGAAGCACATTTCCAATTCAAAATGTACAAAGCACATCAGGTTCGGACCGCTTTTGGAAGGTCGAAAAAGTGCACGCCGTTGTGGCGCGAAGCACATTTCCAAGTCAAAATGTTAAAAAAATTACATGCTCGCGCCACTTTTGGACGTTCAGATGTCGTTTCGCGTGGCAGGCGCAAGGGATTGTGGACCTTGTCAAAAGTGGGCAAACCGTGAAGGTTTTGTAGCATTTCCAAAAACGATGGCAGGCGTGGGACATTTGAAGAGGATCTGCAAAGATGCATTGTCCGTGGCAGGCGCAGTACAAGAGACATGTTCATCAGGGATGTTAGGAGGTCCGGGCGCTGATTTCCTGAGAGGGGTTGCATTTTGGAGCCTCTGATCTTCAGGTTTTGCGAGATGATTTTGCGTGACAGGTGCAGCACTTCGTATGACCTGGCATCACTTTTTCGTGGCAGGCGCAGTAGTTTAGACAGATGGACTGGAAAAATCGCAAAAAACGCATTGGTACGAGGCCGTCAGCTCTGCACTCAACTTTCCATTTTTGAACGTTGACAATTCCGAAAATTGAGGAAGTCTCGCAGAATTGCTTCGTTTTGGATGGTGTCAAGTTGGAAGTCTCGCAGAATTGCTTCGTTTTGATGTTGTCAAGCTCAGAATAGAGAATAGAATAGACAATAGAATAGAGAATAGAATAGAGAATAGAATAGAGAATAGAATAGAAAATAGTATAGAGTATAGAATAGACAATAGAAAAGAGAATAGAATAGAGAATGGAATAGAGAATAGAATAGAGAATAGAAAAGAGAATAGAATAGAGAATAGAAAAGAGAATAGAAAAGAGAATAGAATAGAGGTAGAATAGAGAATAGAATAGAGAATAGAATAGAGAATAGAATAGAGAATGGAATAGAGAATAGAATAGAGAATAGAAAAGAGAATAGAATAGAGAATAGAAAAGAGAATAGAAAAGAGAATAGAAAAGAGAATAGAATAGAGAATAGAAAAGAGAATAGAAAAGAGGATAGAATAAAGAATGGAAAAGAAAATAGAATAGAGAATAGAAAAGAGAATAGAATAGAGAATAGAATAGAGAATAGAATAGAGAATAGAATAGAGAATAGAATAGAGAATAGAATAGAGAATAGAATAGAGAATAGAATAGAGAATAGAATAGAGAACAGAAAAGAGAATAGAATAGAGAATAGAATAGAGAATAGAATAGAGAATAGAATAGCATAGCATAGCATAGAATAGAACAGAATAGAATAGAATAGAATTAGAATAGAAAAAGAATTAGAATTAGAATTAAAAATATAAATAGCAATAGAAACAGAATAGAATAGAATAGAAGAGATAGATAGATGGATGGATGGATGGATAGATAGATAGATAGGGAGGGAGATAGATAGATAGATAGGTAGATAGCTAAACAGACAGATAGATAGACAGATAGACAGATAGATAGATAGATAGGTAGATAGATAGATAGGTAGATAGATAGATAGAGAGAGATAGATAGACAGACAGACAGACAGACAGATAGATAGATAGATAGGATAGATAGGATAGATAGGACAGGTAGGATAGATAGGACAGGTAGGAAAGGTAGATAGATAGATAGATAGATCGATAGATAGATAGATAGACATAGATAGAGATAGATAGAGATAGATAGAGATAGATAGAGATAGATAGAGATAGATATAGACAGATATAGATAGATATAGATAGATATAGATAGATATAGATAGATCGATAGATAGATATAGACACATATAGATAGATATAGATAGATATAGACAGATATGGATAGATCGATAGATAAATCGATAAATAGATTGATACATAGATAGATAATTAGGTAGGTAGGTAGGTAGGCAGAGAATACCTTTCCGTCCATCAGTGGCTTGGCTCTGCCATCCGTGATTCACAACAACCAACCGCTCCTATAGGTTTCCTATTTTGAAACTTCCGCCACCGCCTTGTGCGGTACTACTGGTATCATATTATATGATATCATATTATATGAAATATTATATATATAATACTAACACGTAGCAGATTTAAAATCATTAAGATATTGAGAGTATATCTATTTACACAAATTCGTTGATTGAGACATTTTGAAAGACCACGGTTTCCCAGCTGCACAGTCCAAGGCACTGAATGATCAGCGTTGTAGAAAATATAGGCTGCCTTGGCATATCTTGGCATTGCTTGCAAAGCTTTCATAGCATTCCGCTTGAAGCGGTCTCAAGCAAAAACTCGTTCAAGTACTGTAAGGAAATCTCTGCAGCCTCACTTGAAACAGACCTGATCAATTCTATAAGAAAGCTGAGTGAGTGTCAAAGACAGCAGGATGAGGATCTGGTTTGGTCATGAGAACCTTTTCCAAGTCCAGATTCATGCCTAAGCTGTGCAGCAGTGTTTTGAACTGCTGGCACCCTTCATAGATCACAGAGAAATTGTACATATCTATATATATATACTGCACATGTTATGCCAAATATTGTCACATGTGATTGTATCAGTACGTATAAGTATTGTATATACAAGTGTTTCTCCCGGCTGCGGTCTGGATCACGACCATCAATTTCGTGAAGCGGGATCGGCGTGGCGTCTCTCAGCAGGTAGGACTGCCCGCGATGCAGGAGCCCCGGTCAGGACTTCCAGAAGCTCAGCACAACTCCAAAGATAAGAAAACCGAAGTGGGTCTGAAATGTGATATACGTAGGCATAGCTTCAAAATGGCCATTGAACGGAGAAAATGATGACCAACCAATGGATCTAGAGGTACCCAAGTAGTGACTCATTATTGACAGTCAACATGCACCGCCTATACCTTTCTGCCACATCGTGACATTGTCTAGTTGGTAAATAGAACCTCTGAGACTCAGAGATCATTTTGATCCATGGAAGGTACATGTCTTCAGTGGAAGATTGCAAAGAGGCGATTCAACAGTACCGAGTGCACCGGAAGCCTTTCCACAAGCACTTATGTGCAGCTTTGCTCGGAGTCGATCATGTCTTGCTTGCAGTTCATCCAATGCTTTGCGTAGTTTTGAAGAGTCCAATCTGCACACCAGCAAAGACGAAGCATCTAGGGACTCTGTCAAGAAGTTCTTCACAGAACTAATGCAATTTTCTTCAACACTAGTTCGACTTCACCCCGTATTGTGCTGAAGTCTGGAGGCATCTCATCAAGATCGTCAAGTGGGGAAGTGAAAACAGCATAGCGGCAAATGTATGTAAAAGTCGTGGAAACGATCTCTACATTCGAAGGCCTGCTCTTGAGGTTTCACATCTTTCACAGTAATTGGAAACGGCTTCAAATGGACAACAGCTGTGTCTTACTAACAAGGTTGTGTTTTCCTGGCCTTGGACCCTTCAAGTGCACTGCGTGGATATGATTGACATCCGCAACTCCGGGTCGCATGTCATGCCAAAAGCTGGGCATCAAATCAAAAAAATCATTGCAGGAGATAACCTCAGACTCATCAAAGCTCGAGCACCACATCGTGTGAAGCGGGAAATTCTTCCTTCTTGAAGCCAAAACGGCTAAAGAGATGATACTGGCTAGCCGACACTCAAACTGTTGCCATTCCCATCAAATTCAAAGCATTCGGTTTCAAATCTGTGGACACCTTTGAGACATTCCTATGGTAATTTCTGCTGGGCGTCTTGCACAGAACATCCAGCCTCCTTTGCAAGAAGTCTACCCATACCTGAATCTCTCACCAATAGCAAGCTGAACTGCATGAAAATGTACCACAGGGTACTCAACCGGCTTCGCTCGATAAATCGAGGACAAGCGCAAGACTCTACTTCACTCTACAATGATCTGCAATACATTGCAATACTTATCTTTTTTGGCAGCCCAGAGTATGCCATTACAATCTGAATGCCAGGCAATCAACACAACCGCAGGCCCACCTCTGCTGGCGGCAGGATGATTACTCGCCTTGGCCCAGGCAAAGAAGTTATCAAAGTCATCGCAAGGTGTGTCTGAGCATTGGATAACCCAACACTTGATGACGGTAAGATGGGCTACTTTGAGATAGTTTCCCTCAGCAAAAGGGCAATGTTGAATCATTTTGAAGTAAATGTCTCATGTTCAGACAGCCCCAGGTCCCTCTATCTTCGCTTCTCAATGTGCCAGAACCCAAATGCTCAGATCCGAACCGAGAAGCGCATGACCTTATCATGAAGCCTTATGCTAAGGTCGCTCATGGGCTTTAAGCTAAAAAACATTAAAAAGCCAATTGCGAAAAAGGAAGGAAAAAAGTCACGAACAACATGAGCTGAAGGAAAAGAGAAAACACTTCACGAACATTTGCTTTGGGTTCAATAGGTGTCGAATGAATTTGAATTAATGAGCCACATGCACAGCCGACCATCTCGAGCATCTAGAGTGGCTACCTTCGGAGGAAAAAGAATCTGAAGACAGAGAGACTACGCTGCGCCTTCCAAGATTTTGGTCTCAGCCAAACGTGCAGTCTGCATGACGTAAACTATGCAAGACTTGAATTTCTTCAACTAACTCCCTCTTGACTGTTGGCAACCAAAATCGGTTTAGACAATTGCTAAAGCAACCGCCGGGACCATGACATCGTGAATGCACCAATTGTAATGATCAAGTGAGCAGGGAGACAAGCAAAATCGTTCACTGATGTTCATTGTAGTCATTGAATGTCATTGAAATGTCATAAGGTTCGATGGGCGGTAATGACACCCCATTATAAGCTATACGTACTTCGGAAGGGTACCTTGAACTCCCAAAAAAACTACCCTCCTCTTCCAACAGCTCAGTCATTTTTCAGGGTTGCAGCAGCTGTTCTGCTGGGCATCTGGAAAGAGGCTACCGAAAGAGGCTACCAGCGCCTGTCCCAAGAAAATGTAAGCGAGAATCAGATTCTATGTGCAGCGCGAAGTTGGGTAAAAAGTGTCAGACTGAGACTGTACTGCCTATACTACACTATCACTACCTAAATCTACTTATATCATATATCCTTGATATGCCTTGGGCCGACAACTCTGCTGTGAGACTGAGCCGTTCCCTGAAGCTGTGTTGGGTTGAAAGCATTTCATAGCATTTCCAAACAATATGCACTTTAGAATACGTTGGAAACACTTAAAACATCTCAAACCATCTTAAAACATCTTAAAACATCTTGAAACATCTTAAAACATCTTAAAACATCTTAAAACCTCAGACCTGCCTCAAACTCCTTTGAAACCCAGAAACAGAATGACAAGGATTAATGATCAAACGCATGGCCAAACACCGCACTGGGAAGCAGCACCGAATGTACATGCTGAACTGCGAGTCCAAAAGCTCTCGAAAGTCAAAAAAAACAACTAAAACATACTAAAACGATTTATAATGTCCAGGCCACATATCCACTATTGTCCGTTCATTGAACCCCCTCTCTGAGGCATCCAGAGCTCTATGTGTGTATGCTAAATCAGAGGCATCAGCTGGGTGTTGATCGCCTCAGGCATAGCGTTCACATGTCTCGAGTTCCATTGCAACACTGCTGCCGTACACATGCTATCACGATCATTCACTATGTTTATTGATTGGAACAGCAGAGCGTGCAAGATCCATTCCTGCTTTCAGCACCGTTTGATCATGTTCCTGGTTTCAATATCTTCAATGTTTGGGTATGTTTGAGTGTCTTGCATCACTTTCATAATCTCGAAGCCACTGCAGCAGCACACGACTCTCAAACACTGGTTTGATCAAACAATTCTCAACGATTGAGTTACTAGGGCTAAGTCTGTCAGTGAAACTTTGAAATATTGAGATGTCCAATGTTTTTCAAACTTACAAGTGTCTGTTTCTTGTAGGACTGCGACGCTGTCATGATGGGTGGCATTGTCAACGGACTGGATCTCGAGCGGCTACTGCGACTGTCTAGACCTTGATGAGAGCATTGGCGTACTTTGTCTTGAAACTACAACAAATAAAAGATAAAGAGTTCAACACAGACGTTCGTGAGAGTTCTTTCTAGGTGCTCACATTTGCAAGTTGGGAATGTGACGCTCTTCTCTGTTCATGAAGGAGTCAACGATGGCACCTGTAAAGAAACGATTGAACGGATCCCGCTACAAGTAGTCTCCGGGCAAGCCGAGGCGGAAGTTTCAAATTTGAAACGCTTATAGCCTATAGAGCGGAGCAAAGGCTGTGCCTATAGGTGAAAGGCAAGCCTCCTGTGCATCGCAGCAACAAGCTCTTGACTTGTCAATCTGATGCCATGTCTTTCGAATGTTGAATATTACCTCATTTCATCTGATCTCATCGCATGGCAGCTTCTCTTGGAAATTGCTCATTGCATCCCTCTGTCACCGCAGTCTGTGTCATCCCATCTCATCTCAACTCATCTCATGCCTTCTGAGTTGCTTCACCTCATCTCATCTCATCCCATCTGATGTCTTCTCTCCCTTTCTCAGCTGTTCTCAGCTGATCACAACGGTTCTCATCTCTTCTCATCTCACCTGAGCTTTTGTCATCTCTTCTCATCTCATCTCATCTCATCTCATCTCTGCTTTTCAGATTTTCACACTTCTCAACTCTTCTCAGCTCTCCGCAGCTCATGTAAGCTCATCTTATGTGTTCTCATCTTTTCTCTCCTCTTCTCACATCTTCTGAGCTCTTCTCACATCTACTCAGCTGATCTCAGCTCTTGTCAGCTCGTCTCACCTCATCTCAGCTCTTCTCAGCGCACTCTCAAATCATCTCACCTTTTCTCTGGCCCGAAACCTGCTCCAAAAACGGATCTCGGCGCCAAAGCAAGCAGCCCCTATGCTTTCCGCGGAGCAGATTTGACACAGAGAAGCTTTTACACACAGCAAGCTTTTGCACGGAGTTAGGGAAGCTTTTATTCACAGCCAGCTTTTACACAAGCAAGCTTTTGTACACAGCAAGTTTTTACCCAAAAAATCTTTTACACACAGAAGCTTTTACACAGAGAAGCTTCTACACACAGCAAGCTTTGACACAAAGAAGCTCCTACACAGAAAAGCTTTTACTCACAGAAAGCTTTTACACAAAGAAGCCTTTACACAGCTTTTACACACAGAAGCCTTTACACAGCTTTTACCCACAGCAAGCCTTCACGCAGAGAAGCTTTTACACACAGAAAGCTTTAACAGTAACACAGCAAAGCTTTTACACCCAGCAAGCTTTTACACAGAGAAGCTTTTACACAGAGAAGCCCTTTCACAGAGAAGCCCTTACACAGAGAAGCATTTTCACAGAGAAGCTTTTACATGCTTTTACACACAGCAAACTTTTACACAGAGGAGCTTTTACAAACAGCAAACTTTTACGCACAGAAGCTTTTACACAGAAAGCTTTTACACAGAGAAGCCCGTTCACAGAGAAGCCCTTACACAGAGAAGCATTTACACAGAGAAGCTTTTACACACAGCAAACTTTTCCACACAGAAGCTTTTACCAGCAGCCAGCTTTTACACAGAGAAGCTTTTTCACAGAAAAGCATTTACACTGAGAAGCTTTCACAGAGAGAAGATTTTAATTACACACAGCAAGCTTTTAAACTGAGAAAATCGGTTGACAAATCACTATCGCAGCCTTGATGCAGCCACACTAATACGATTTACGATGTCCAGCTGCAGAAGACAATAGTATTACGCACGCAGCCGCGGCGCCAAGCAACCTTGGCGCAGCCGTTACAATGCGATTCGCAAAGACTGATTTGCAAAACACAATAGAACGATGTTTTGATAGTGGCGATGTTGTGATAGTGGTGATATTGTGACAGTGGTGATGCTGTGACAGTGGTGATATTGGTGGTGGTGATTTGTGATAGTGGTGATGTTGTCATAGTGGTGATGTTGTAATAGTGGTGATGTTGTAATAGTGGTGATGTTGCAATAGTAGTGATAGTGATTTCTAATTATCCGTTGCACGGAAGTTAGACTTTCAAACTTCCTTTGACAAGCCACTAGAAACGAGGTCATTCCATGTATCTAGCATGATGATGTCGCTAGCATAAGTCTCTGACAAAGACTAAACAAGCACAAAGAAGCTGCTTCAAGCTGCTTTACAATCTTCAACAAGACAACTGTCCACAACTTAAGGTGGCAATCTGCTGTTGCCTGAGGAAATTGGAGCAGAGTTGGCTTGTCCAAAGATTTCAGCTTTCTCGAAGCTCACTGGCCCATGCTCCAGTGACTCGTTCACCTCCAGTGCAGAATGTGTGCATCAAGCAAACACATTGCAAACACATTGCCCTCAAATGCATTGGATGATCCTGGTGATTTGCTACGTACATTTTTTGTCAATCGTGCTCATATACTCCATGCAGCATGATGGAGACCTGCATACATTGACATGTGCATGACGCTGTGTAAGCGATCGTGTTGGTGATCTTAACCTTCCTTGAACTTGCACAGTGGATTCAACACTGCTGTTGGGGCCAAAAAAACAAGAAATGATGTTACAGGAATTGTGAATTCATCGTCACTTTCAACATCTTGACCTCGCAGCCCCTGGCAAATTACATTAAATGCAGACTTCACAATCTTCACACTGAATCAGAATCAACATGAATCAACCCACTGCCAGTATTCAGCAAAAACTTCATCTACCTGTGCCAACATCTTTTCCCGCAAGCCCAGGAGATCAGATCGGTTGTAGGTCGTCCGCCTTGGCCACATCAACATCATGACTAATTCGTGATGGCAGTGATGGTAGTGATGGTAGTGCTGAGAGATGTACGCGAAGAGCACAGGAGCTGGTGAGTACTGCAGACAAGCCATTTTGAAACCTGCAGAGCAGGGAGAACATGGGAGAACTTCATTAGATCTGCAAGTAGGCACAGTGCGAACTGAATCACAACTGGGAAACAAGCTTTTCGCTATAATACCAAACTGGATGAACGTGAATCAGGCATGATCAGTCCGTCCTGAAAGGACTGTTTGCGCTTTGCCACAACAACTCAAGCATCGCTCATCCACATTCAGCACGGTTTGGCCATCTGCCTTCCAGGTCATGTTTCAAGATCTTCAACATGTAAAAAAGCATATAATCGCCGTGAGAGGTGCCTCACAAGGTGGCGAAGAAGCTCGGTTTTTCCGATTCTTGGTGCCTGGAGGCACTGCGAAAAATCAGGCCCAATCAAAGAAGCAACCAGCTCCCAACTTACGAGTCTTGTGCTTTCTGTTACGTTCCACGAGGTCAGCAAGGGTGAATCATTCGGGCATATATGGCATATATATGCATATATTTTCTATTTTGTGGGCTATCATAGGCTATCAAATGGTCTCACTCGTCATGTGTATCCGTGTATCCACATCCATGGAACATCATGGAACAAGGCACCTCGCGCTTTATCCACCGTCTCGTCCTGCACAAGTCAAACTGGCACATGAATGTGTGCTAAGCTGCTAAGATTGCTAAGTCACCTTGTAGCCCATCAAGGCAATCTTGGCCCGATCTTGATCGTCTTGAATGTCCAGCCTTGAAACCAGGGATAGAACAAGACTGATGGTGTGAATCCGAATTCAGGTCCATTGCTATGCTATATTCTCATAATATTCTCATAATTTCTCATATTTGTTCTCATCTGCTGAGTCTGAAAGAATCTAAATACCACATGAAATTCAAGCAGTTTCAAGCACACCTTTACACCTTCCTGGGCTGCAAACGCCGAAGCAGCTCTCTCACATTGGACCTTAGAATGTCGTCAAGAGTCCTCAAAGATCCCGTTCGCGAAGAAGCCACGACATGATGGATACAAATCAATTTAAGGCAAACAGGCATCAACATCAACATACATCAACATCAACATACATCAATTGAGCTGTGTCTAAAAGGTCTTGTTTTTCTGAAGGCGCTAAGGGAATGCTTACGCGGCAGCTTACGCGCTGCTTACGCGCCCGAGTTTTAGCTTACGCGCGGGAATAGCTTACGCTGATGCTTACGCACCCCAGGGTTTTGCTTACGCGAGGTCCTTAGTCTCAGTGATTCTCCCGTGATTCTGTATGTTTTCCTGAGGACTTAGTACCGTACCATGGTCCAAATCACGGTGCTCAAATGCTCCAGGCTGTTCGCCACATGTTGCGAAGACTCCTGCCTTGAAGCACCGGATATGACAGCGGAGTCTAAAGAGGGCCTAAAGAGGGCTTTATTGGCACTTGAAGGTGCTAGTACGGTGCTATTTGAATGACGACGACACCTTCAAAGAAAGATGGTTAGAGGCTGGCAGAAAATCACGCTGAGACTGCAGCACTATAGCCAGCTGCTTGGCGACTGCTTTGATCTCTACCTGCAACCAAACTGTTAGGCGGTGGCACAAATTACCAAAAAAATGTGTGGCCCTGGTTCAGTCACAACCAAAGCTGATGTGCATGGTTTATTGCTGGGGATCACATTTCAGTAGTCATGGTTTGCTGCACCTCCTGGCTGTTGCGGTCTCGTCTTCTTAGCTTTCCTTGCATTGAAAACGGAGAGTGGGCTGTCACCACATGCTGAACTGCCAAATTTACGTTCAGGTATATCATGGATGTTAATGGTAATTATGGATAAAGCATGATAAAATCAAAATAAACTCCGCTGCTTTCCAAGTAATGTTGAAATGCTCTCAGCTCGCATCAACCTTCATCATTTATCTTAGCATCATCTCCGCTGGCCCTGCAAGCACATACTTGGCGCCAGACCAACTTCCTCGACTTCAGATGTCACCTAGCTTAGCAAAGTTTACCAAAGTAGCATCAATCTACTGCAATCGCTGAAGGTAAAACCAGTAGACAGTTACTTTCCGCACAAGAAATCAAAATCGCATTCATGCCAATCCTGGAGACAGGCAAACACACAGTATTGGGTAGCTAACTCCGTGCGCTAGGGTACAGAATCAAAGCAAATACAATGTGATTGCATACAGATGCTTGACAAGCACACAAGGTAACTGCTACTCACTAGAGCGTAGATCAGAATGCCAAAGTATTTGTTCTCTGCGAAGTCTTTGATTCTGGGCCTGCCTATCAGTACCAATTCAAAATCTGCAATTTCTGCAAAACCAGCATCCACACTAATAAGCCCGGAGGTTCTTGAATCCCCATAGACATCCATAGACCCAAAAGACCTGTCTGACCAAGTCTTCAGTTTGAGCTTGGGATGCACCTGTCGTGTCAGTGGTACAGAAAAGCATGTGACAAATGTAAATTGGACAGTGCTTCATGTGCTTTGGATGGCATTGGATGACATTCATTGACATTCCATTTGCATCTCAAGAGCATCGCAAGGAAAGCACGGCAGGTGCGCAAATGCTTTCTTCGAGCGACCGCCGGTATTCACCTAACCCAGATGTCCACCCACAACCAAATGGCAGTGTGTCAAAACCTTGTACCCCTGGTGAACATCAAGATAGCTGGTAAATGGATGTTCATCCCACTAAAAATGGTAGGTATTGACCCATACCCAAATAGGTTCTCTGAAAAGCTCTGAGGCAACAACGCTCGGACTGCATGAACTCATCGACCTGTCCCAAAGTTCAAGGTCCAAAGACCAGCGCGTTCCATATGGATCGATATGGCTTATCCCATAGGATCCATGTATGGTATATATGCTAACATTGGGGGTATATTGATGGTAAATGTTACCATATATAGCATACATGGATCCTATGGGTATGGCTCAAATCAAACCAATGGAGACAAAATGTGTGCTATTTGCAGCTCAAATGTCCAGGGCTCTCCAAGAAACTCATGCCTTTTGTCGTACTTGGGCAGCTTCTTTTAGCCTAGCTCAATGTCCAAAGTGGAAGCTGGGGCCACTGAAGATGCTGAAGTCATTTTCTCTGAGGGAAGTGCTCCTCCTGATATGCTGTTCGCACCTTGCAGAAAGGAAATTCAAGCATGTAAATTAATGTAGACAGCAAATGCATGCAAATGCCTTAAAGGTGGTGAGTTATGACTCATGACTCATGACTCTTGGGCAACGTCACAGCCAAAAAAAATAGACACACTCTCCCACTCTGTTTTCTTTCACAACACCAGGCTGCACAACTCTCAGGCTTGGGTCCCATTGCGCCTCCTGCAGCATGGCGGCATTGTGAGCTGCCACTGTGTTGGTGGCAGTTTGAAAGTGCTCTTTCATGTCGCTCATCATCCTTCGCAAAGGCAACTCCACTCACTTGAAGGGTGGATTCATGGGGATAGACATTCGTTCCTGATTTGAGAAGCGAGGCTTCACGAAAATCTCAACCATCTCACCATTCTTGCAAATCTAATTTCGAAACACTTAGAAGGTTGCGATAGTCAAGCCTTTGACCTTGCAAGTCTTCTGATGTTGCATAGATCGGCCGGAAGGTGACTTTTATCTGGGATGCAAAAAGATATGACAATAAGTGAACCACCATCAACCTCCATCTGTCCTGTCAACTGTCTGCTGCAATGCAGTCACATTGTTGTTAGTCTCCAAGGTGAAGTTGTTTACCTGCCAAGATGAACTGCAGAATGATCATGAATGATCCATACGGGCTTGTAAAATCTAGTACCCCCAAAATGTTAATCATCAGTGTTCCACATTCAACGGCCATGTTGAATCATTCGATCCATTCTGGGATATCCATGGGTATCCTCATTTTCAGGACTCACCAACGGCTGCAGGATCTATCAGGGCCTCCTCCTGCACCATCTGCAGCTGGGCGATGCTGGCCTGCGTGGCAATACGTTGCAATAGGCGTCTGCAAATCACATCGAGGCAGCCAGCCGCGTAACCGCGTAACCGCGTCGCCGCGTAGCCTTGTCATGCTTCATGGAGGCAAACTCCGTGCTCATGCTGGTGACCTAAGTTTCGGTGGGCATGTCGTATCATTTCGTGAGGTCTGGTACAGCAATACTCAAACATGCCCAAATCATCTTAAACATCTTAAACCTTAAGAAATGATGGCGCTATTGTTCTAAGGCAGCCACAACCTCATTAGTGCGGGAGAGATCATGCATCACCTTCGCTAGGCCTTGCGCCGTGACAAATGGGCGATTCGAAAGGCAACACACTTCCTCTCCATCGATGATCTGTGTGCCGATTGTGGTGGTGACAAGGAGGAAACTCTGCAAACCAAGATCATAAAATATCATAAACTATCATGAATCATGACTCCATTTTCAGATCTCAGCAAGCTTCACACATAGCTTCAGATACAGTTTCTCCGCTGTCTATTTTACTATTTTTATTTCAGAAAGCCTCTAAATGCCCAGTGGTAGCAGATGCACCCTTCAGCAGGTGGGCCTGTTTCTTCGCCCCACAGGTCATCACTCAGTTTGTTGTATCTGTTCTCCAAATTCACAAGCTTCACCTGCATCACACGCCGGTCTAGAGTCTAGGTCATGACATGTTGATCATTTTGCATAATTTTGCCAGTGATCTGAGCAAACCGTTCAAAAATGATCGAATATGTTGCAGATTCTTCAAACTTTGCTGAACAACAAGGTGCTGATCCGTGATGATTTCGTCTACTAGGTCAAGAAATGCCTGACAAACAAAGCCACACCTCTAGGTCAGTTTTGAAAACATTGAGCATCTTGTTCTGCTGGCCAAGTCGTTTGTCTGTATCAGCTCTCAGCCTCACTTACACCGACTTACACATTCTAGGTCATTGTCATTGTCAGGCTTGCTCTGGGTCGGTAGTGCTTATGCATCTTCAATGTCTTCGTTAGTTTTGTTTGGTGTGCAACTTATGACGAAATTACAGCATTGGTGCATCTTGTAGTGCCATTGATACTTCATGATACTTCATTTGTTGCTGGTTGGGACATTTCACATGTCGTGATATTTTATCATACCTGAGAACTGGGCGAGTCGCCAATGTCCTGGACGCGACCTGCGAACATGTTACAAGATGTTACGAGATGTTTCAAATAGGATCTGTCTGGCCCTGGGATCCTTCCACATCCTTCCACCACCACGATACCACAATATGCCACAGAAATCGCTGTTTGAAACCCGAACATCTCGCATCATCTCGCACATCTCACCTAGCTCCCCCACAACTCGATCAACAGTTCGTTGGGCCCCTTGGACGTATGCATCCATGCCTCAGTTCACGAAATGACTCACTCCACAGGAGACCACAGGAGACCAACGAGACCTAGGAAGTCCACGTCGGGTTATCGGAGGCACTGCCCAACATCTACATGATCTGAATGCACTGGTTGTGTGCTTTGTATTGCTGAGCCCTGAGGCGTTCCAATTCATACCGGAAAACGTCGAGGTCCTACGGGCAGCCAAAGCATACAGCCGACTAACATGGACTCAATGCAAGGCGCGCAGCTGCAACTTGTTGCAGGGCTTTGATGTTTTCTTTCTCGCGCGGTTGGTCACAGGGCGTCACTATGACTGCTCCATTGAGCCACCACGTCCCACTCTTTGGCGTGCAATGCTGTGGATCGAACCTGCACAGCTCCACGCTCCGGCTTTCATGTGGAGCATTGACATCATATGACATCAACTGTTGACATCATTGACTTTTTTCTCCCTCAACTGTTCTACACTTCTGACTCGCCTCTCGCAAGCAGTGGTGTTTTAGCACGGGATCCAAAACAACCTGCGGGTTTGCAAGGGTGGGTGATGGTGGGTGCCATTTACAAGCAAGCAATGCAATCAACCTAAAATATCATAAAGCCTTAATATAAAGCGAGACAGAAGCCTTTTCATTCAAGTTGGAACCCACAAGCATTGTTGCACACAAGCACCTGCCTGAAGGATGTTGTCCAAAACAGAAGTCCTGTGAGCAGTTGCACTTGGATTACCTGCCACGGACTGCTGCTGATGGCGACATGCTCGTAAGAACCGATGGTTATGGAAGAATGCAGAGACGGGGAGTATAATGGCACAAGAAGGCACAACAAGGTATATTATAACTCCATAACATAACATTGTACGAGTATCACTATAGATGTATTACATTGTATTACAACATGGTTCTATTTATATTGCAACTAATGACTATTAATAGAATATTAATAGTGCATCCTATTGCAGTCATATGCAGTAATAATGTTGCAATTACCAACGATTACCAAAGCCAACGTAGAGAATCGTAGAGACCACAACTGCACTTTGTTTTCATCATGGGCCGCCGTGGGCCGCCCTACCTCGAATTGGGTTCAAGGACGGGCCCTGGTTGATCTCCACAAGCCAAGGGCGCATCCATTTGTCAATCAAAACATCTGCACCCAAGACTTCGAAAGACAAGGGGCCTGCCAAGATCAAAGCTCAAACAAGAGGCTCAAACGGCTCAAACAGCTCAAACGGCTCAGACATCCACAATACATCACAAAACTCATCAGCCATCACATCTTGGCTGTGAATCGTTGCACAAGGACTGAAAGATCTGAAAGGGATTGAAAGGGGATGAATTTGGCAAAGTCTGTCGCTTCAACCCTGCCTTCGTCTTGGGAAGTCTCTGAAAAGCGACTTAAAAATGGACCGATGCAAGCCTGCCAGAAGGATCACATTCACTTCCAACACTGCGCAGCTCTTGAATCAACTTGGACCCAGCCTGGAACATCTCGATGACACATGGCCAAACGGTATCTGAGTGCTGCCATGCCGTACTGCTTAACCCATCAACGTCTTTGAAAACATCAAGGGTTGAGTGGACATGCCGAGCTGGATCAGGATCTGCGGCATCATACGTGCGCGGATGCAATCTACAAATGAAGTTCCTGCGAGCCAAGGCTAAAGCAATGCGAGAATCCTTGTCTGCAAACAGCAGAAGGAGAATATAGATTCGTAGCGTCATCTTCCGACCTTTGTCATCCAATAAAACATCTGACACTTCTTGTTGTGCCACGAACAGTGGCTGCTCTTGCGCTGGCAAACTCAGCCAGGCTTTGTGGCAGGCTTCAACTCCCAAGTGGACACTCACTCCCTCGTTGCGTTCACAATGTGTATGCTTCAGGAAAAAGAGGCTGGTGCGGGCATTCAGATCAGTGGTATTGAAGGCTTTGAGTGCTTCAGGGGAAAGGAATGTTGTTGGCGCCCAACCACTTGCACCAGAGCTTTTTAAGTGCAACGCCAGCAGTCTCTTGTCGCCCAGGTCTTGGAAGATATTAAATTTTCGACGCTCGATGACGGCGCGGTGCTTCGGATCCACGTCAGTGTCAGGCTCCACGCGCAGAGATGGTGGTCCGGTACCACGTGCTCGGTATGCACCAAAGATGGCCAGTTCCCCAGGTCTTCCAAAATTCAAGCCCCGTTTGGCCAGCAAGGTCGGCAACGAGGGAGCATTGGAATGGAAAGCCAGCTGATTTGCTTCTTTCAGTGCCAAACAAGCTGCATGATCACAACATACCTTGCGAGGAGCGAAGTACAAATCATGAACAAAATCAATCCAGCCGATCTAGCCATATCGAATTTACTGATTTTTCATAGGTCTACACCGCTGGTCGACAGCCACAACAACCAAAGACATACAAAGACTGCAAATCATTGACAATAAGACATGAGAAGACAAGAGAATAAGTCTCTCAATGATGTGATCGGTCACCAATCATGGAGTCTCTTGCCCCATGCCACGTTGCGGTGAAACATGCCATCCATCCTTTCTGACCGCACAACTCGTCATGCCCCAGGAGCCTTGGATTTGAGCCCATTGCAGAACTCGTCATGCTGGACCAACGCCACGTGGTACGATTTGGAGAGACTGAGCATACTCCATCTCTGATAGTTCAGTCCCTGTTGATGGTTTTATATCCCAGTGAAGCTTTACAAAATCCCTATCAATTCCCTATAAATCATATATGAAATACGTATATTAATTCTTTGGATATCACATATTACACCATCCCTGTAAAATCCGTAAATTCTCATATTAATCCCATTGTATGACTGAGTTATTCTGATCAACAGTCCGCCTTCAAATTGGAACCTGTCCAGACCTGTCCTGCTTCATGCAGCTCAAGGAGTCTGTTGCGGTGGCTTGCCACTGCCTGGTCCACGGAGTTACCTTCTGGTAATCAAAGGTAACCATGGGGAAATCCCGCCATCCCCTATAAATGGCTGTTTAAGTGAAGAAATCATCGAAGTAAATGGGGAATCAATGGGAACTATCGATTGCCATGTTTGATTACCCAGAAGGTACACCGGTCAGAAAGTTGTGGAGAAAGTGTCAGGTAGAAAGTGTCACACTTGTGACGAGTTCTGAAAAGTGCAAAAGATCAGATTTCGCTGGGCTTCGTGCTTTCTTTCCGAATCGTACTTTGACAATTCGGCTTTGAAGTTCTCGATGTTTGCAACCTATCAAGCAAGACACAGCAATGGCCTCACTCAGACTGACAGTACGGTAGAGATTGTTCAAGAAAGACTTGCACTTTTCTGATTCACCAAACACGTCCATTTTGAGACATCTTCGAAGGGTAAACGTAGTGCACCTGCTGTTCAACTTTGCCAGCAGTAAGCCTTAGTAATTTGAAATGCTGGACCCTAGCTTTCCACCAATCATGAAAGTCTCTCCAAGCTCCTTGTGCCATTCTGCCAGGCAGCAACAAGTCCGAGATGTGGCTTGATTTTAGCTGAAGATCTTCCTCCAAAGCATCGCTCTAACAAGCGTCATGAGATCAAAAAGGTATCAGAAGTGCAAATTGAACGCAAATTGATGGGATCCAATGGATAGAGAAAGTGCAAAAACCAGCAGAAACCTCGATCTTCACCACCTCTTTCTCCAAAGCCTTGGTTTTGCAGAGTGTGTGTGGGTGGGTGGGTCCATTGCTAGACCAATTCTGACTCATGCCCATGTCAATCATATCATCATGTCGATCATGATCTATAATTACTTGGTGAAAATATGTTCAAAATGTTCAAATACCCAGGCGACAGTGCAATGATCAAGATGACCGTCAGATGACAATTTGCCAAGTGCATCCAAGTGCTGCAACATTGTCAGGAAGCCTGAAACCTTTTCTGAAAACCTGACGAAAAACTGACGAAGGGGTTCCAGGCGGCAGTTCTGCGAACGGTGGGCGCGAAGATGTCGAGACAATGCCTTGGAGTGTGCGGAGATGTGCGGAGTGTGGTTTCTTCCATGGAGGATTCTTCCAATCTTCATAAAAGTAGGCTCCACACTGTCTTAGTCTGACCTTCCAGGGACATTCAATGCGCATCAATGCATTTTCATGCATTTTCAATCTTCAACATCCTTCAACATCCTTCAACATCCTTCAACCCTGAAGCATCCCATCTCAAGTACTGCAATTCCAAGTGCTCACCGGTGCCCACTTCTGCAGTTTCTCTGCCTCCAGAGACGCCATCTGCACCTCATGCTCACTCTGCGTGATGCTCCCTGGCAAAGGCGTGAAGCCTCATGGGAACATCAAAGATATAAACAACATTGAACAACCCAACAAATATCAACAAATCAGGTATCCAAATTATCCAAAGACTCATGGAACATGGAACGCTTAAAAGTCACCCACGGATGTTGATCCACTGAGATCCTCACTGGGTACTTGAGCTGCCTCTGCGAGCAACTTTTCATAGTCCTGGGGTCCCAAATGGTACCAAAAAAATCCAGAAAAATCAAAATGTGCACATCTGAGATCTGCTGAGTCGATCTGCAGAAAAAGTTTGAAAACACCACAAGAAACTCTCCAGTCTCTCCAGGTCAGTTGCCACAAGATCCCGGCCACTGGTTCCACATCCAGGGAGGCGAGGTCCAAACCTACTAGAATGTGTTCGTCTACCACACAGGCTGAGTTCATGAAGAATGAAACCGCATGAAACCGCAACAATCAAAGTGTTGACCTTCCAATTTAGATCAATTTAGCCTAGGAGCTTTGGCGTGTCTGTCCAGTTGACTCATCTGCCATCCCCGTCTCGTCCGGCTCTTCCGGCTGCATGAAGTGCTTTGGTGTTGATGCTTGCATTCTGCTAGGTGGGCACGCACATGGTCGACCGCAGTAATCAAGACAATCGTGCGCTTCATGGATTGGAACAGCTCCCAAATGATCAAACTCTATAGAGGAATCTTCTGGGTTTTCCTGTTTTGCATGACAAGCTGTACTAAAGAAGCAATGCGATGGTACCTCTTCAACCAACATTGTCTTGCCGAGTGTTTGTGCTTGCAGCTTGGATGTGTTTTGACTTTCAGAGCTGCAAAAAAAACTGCACTCTGCCAAACCCAGACATGGCATTCAAACCCTCACAGCGCGCATCTGTTGTCATGTTGCTTATTTGATTTAGATTATATTTCGCATATTTACTCATATTTACCCAAGATGCAAATTTCAGACGGGAAAAAGTTTCACGCTCCTTTGCCATTGCATTTGGGCAAGAGTCTTGGCAGTAAATCCGTTGGCAACCACTTCTTGTGCCATCCCATGTCATACCCGCTACGTCCCACGTCGCACTGTTGTGCTTTTCTCATTTTTCTCTGCAAAATCCAATCGATCCTTCAACCATCTGTCTTGATCCTCCTGCTCAGCAGGCCACTCCCAATAGTTCACCTGAAAGAGGGAACAGCACCAGACAACTGCCCAAAAATGATGACCCCAAACAGGTGATGTTGGTTGATGTTTCTCGATGTGGCGCATAGACGTAGCCACGATATGCCAAGGTTAGCGGATAGCAAGACTGGTCGGCAAAACCGGCAATTTCTCTCATGTTTCCTCATCCATTTGCTGATTCCTTTCACTCAAAAATGCAAAAAAGGATCAGCAAGTGATCTGCTTTGCCCACCCATTTGGGGGATATCAAAAACAACTCTCAATGGTTTAAACATGTTTAAACTTTAAACTTGTTTAAACATGTTCCCCGCAACCCCTTAGTTCGCCCACACTCAGAATTCACATCACGAATTGCAATCGATTAGGAAGATCAACAAGGGTATTAGGGTTATAAATGTCCACCCCCGTTGAACTTTACATTCAATTAGGAAGATCAACAAGGGTATTTGTTATAAATGTCCACCCCCGTTGAACTTTACATTCAATTAGGAAGATTAACAAGGGTATTTGTTATAAATGTCCACCCCCGTTGAACTTTACATTCAATTAGGAAGATCAACAAGGGTATTTGTTATAAATGTCCACCCCCGTTGAACTTTACATTCAATTAGGAAGATCAACAAGGGTATTTGTTATAAATGTCCACCCCCGTTGAACTTTACATTCAATTAGGAAGATCAACAAGGGTATTTGTTATAAATGTCCACCCCCGTTGAACTTTACATTCAATTAGGAAGATCAACAAGGGTATTTGTTATAAATGTCCACCTCCGTTGAACTTTACATTCAATTAGGAAGATCAACAAGGGTATTTGTTATAAATGTCCACCCCCGTTGAACTTTACATTCAATTAGGAAGATCAACAAGGGTATTTGTTATAAATGTCCACCCCCGTTGAACTTTACATTCAATTAGGAAGATCAACAAGGGTATTTGTTATAAATGTCCACCCCCGTTGAACTTTACGTTCAATTAGGAAGATCAACAAGGGTATTAGGGTTATAAATGTCCACCCCCGTTGAACTTTACATTCAATTAGGAAGATCAACAAGGGTATTTGTTATAAATGTCCACCCCCGTTGAACTTTACATTCAATTAGGAAGATCAACAAGGGTATTACGCATGAAAAAAGAAGTCGTCCGACAGACGGGAGTGGGGCGCGGGCAAACTAAGGGGTTGCAGCGAACATGTTTTAACCATTTATCACTGAGTTATTACAGTTTCCCTTTGGCAACTCGCAACCGCAACGCTGTCGCACCTGGCACACTTTGGCACCTGATGCTGCCAGTGCAGCACGACGCAGTCGACAGGATGCAAGAAGCTCACGGCTACCAACGTAGAAACCTGGGATCTGCATTCGCCAAGGATTACAATGAAGTACAAAGATCAATAAAGATCAATCAATTACAGATCACAGATTACCATGATATATATATATATAATATATCATGATTCATGATCATCATGGTGTCTCATGGTGTCTCTCTATCTGTGATTGTCTCTCTATGACAGTTGACATTTAAAGGATCATGGCTCTGATTCCGGGTGCATTGGCCTGCAGCCTGCAGCTCAGTGGCGTTGCTGGCTATTCACCTCCACGACAACGCCGCCGCCGCCAACGCCGCTGTGAAAGCGACAGGCCAGGTCAGACCGAAATCCCTGCCCTGGCCATGCCACCAGCACCTCTCCGTGGTTGACCTGGACAGGGAGTCATCACTGCTCGAACAAGTCGAACTGCAAAAGGTGGACGTGATATGACGAAGTTGCAGTCATGAAATTGAGCAAATCCAATCCAACCACAATAGCAATCAACGCAATCCAGGGCATGCTGACACGGGGGTCGATTTGGCCTTCGCATAGTTTCGCAGGGAGGCAAACACTGAGCGCAGGAAGCCCCCATCCGTTGATGGCACCAGGTCGTGTTGAGGTCCGTTGGATGTAGAGAAGACCTCCGCTTAGGACTAGGATCATCCTAAAGGATGTCAATCTTTACAAGTTTGTGCTCATGCCCCAAAGACTTGACACCTAGATGAACCATGATGAACCTAGTTTCTTGAGAGTGATGCCAGTCAGATCATTAAGGTATATAGTCAAATCTATTCTATGTTATTTGTTGCTATTTACTGTATACAATATTATTTAATGCTGACAGGCAAAAATGATAATGCGATCAAACATATCAAACCATATCAAACCTGTTTTAAAGGTATCCAGTCTTGTCATGTCTTGTCCAGTTTTGGAAGCCACTGTGCCTCTTCAGACCAGTCAGCCAACCATGTGGCATCACCAGTGTCTTTCGCCTGTCATCATGTCGCTTCCAAGGAAGATGTTGCCACAGAGTTTGTTTCTGGCAAAAATGCGATTTGTATGCATATTTCAAGGCATGCCTCAAATCATGTAGGATTCACACTACTAGCATTTTTGTGAAAGGAGCTCACTGAAGTTTGCTTGGTCTCTGGCCTTACGAAGCCACGCATGCGATGAAGCCGAGATTTCCCCAGCACACTTCAATCGAAGAGAGGCTGATAGGGATGTGAGATCTGTGGCACAATGGACTTTGGCCGCATGAAACAAAGAGTTCATGGTCTCCTCTGACAGTTCGGCAAAGTCCAACAGTGCCGCTGCAAAGAGGTCCGCCGTCAACGCAGGCAAGGATCGTTGCCAGGTACCACGTGGAGAAGCGAAGCTTTGATCGATGGCCCACATCATAGCCTTCACTGGATGTCCCAATGGTGCCATTCCACGCAAAAGTCTTCCAGCCAAGACAGGGGAGATCGGAGAGATTGTGTCTGAGAGCTCTGATCCGCCCATGGCATCAAAGAGCTCCACATCTTTGATGCGGAAATGGCCATGCATTGCCAGCAAAGCCGCTGCAGTTCTGAAGCGAAGTGCTTTGCAGGCACAAAGTTCCAGCGTCAACGGTCGAATGGAAGCCAGGAGCTGCTTACCATCTGCTGACAAAATCTTTGAAGCTTCTGCAATTCGCTCCAAAGCAGCTGCAATACTGTTGGCAACTTCAGAGGATTGCTTGTGTTGCGCCAATTGAGCAACCTGCTCCTTTGCAACCTCCGCCAGTCTCTTCTGAATGAGTGTCACCACCTCTTGTGTTAAGTTGATATCACAACTGGACATGGCCTGCAAAATCAACCCAAGATCCACAAATGAACAGCTTCTCACTGCTTGTGGCAAAACTCGCAGAGCAACAACGCCCAGAAAGGCTCCACGGCCAGTACTTGGCAACCTAGCCAGATTGCTGCAAAACATTGCCAATTGGGGCGTTGAGAACATGCCAACGTATCGCAAACCACATGCGGCAAAGATGTAGTTTAGCTCCTTCTCCTTTCAGGATGCGCAGTTTTTTGCTTTGAAACCCAATTTGCTCTGAACTTCTGGTGGTAAATGGTGGTAAGCAATCAGCAATCACTGTGATTATTGGCTCTTGTGGTCAAGGTCTATTAATTAGTCTCGCTGTACTACATGTACATGTTATGTTCATTCCCTGCAAGACCTTGGACCCATAGATGTAAAGTACAAGACCACTGAGGACTGACGATTGGAAAACTTCCAAATCACAGCATCACCCTCATGCGAAAATCTGCATGTTCGGTCCTAGTCCAATGAGTCTATGTAATAAGCTGTTTATCTTTCCATTTGCTCCTCCAAAATGTTGAGCTTCACAGCGGAATTCGACAGGTGCGCCAAATCTTCCGGCTCAGCCAACTCTTCCAGTAGGCCTCGTGAAAGCCAACGCTGGACGAAGTTTTGAAAAATGTCGCTTGCCATGTCCTCAGTCCTGAGTTCAAACAAGCAGTATCTCAACAGAGCCAGTCAAAGATCACATCCGATGGCAGTAAAGAATAGTAAAAATCATGTAGTTTTCTTTCAAAGCAAAACAGTGCATCCTCTTGCGGGATAAATCGTCTTTAATCGTCTTTAGCTTAGAGTGGAATTGCACAGCATTGCACAGCATTGCACAGCATTGCACATAAACACAGAACCAAAACCAGAAAAGATCTGAAAAGTGTGTCAAAAGTTTCACTTCCGAACAGCGAGCAAGCGCATCAACGACGAGAGCTGCTTGTGTGATGGTGAAGTCAGAGACACACGGCCTGCGTCGGCGAATCCGAGAATGAAACAAACAGAGCTAGCAGCTGAGCTAGCAGTCAAAGCGCTGTCACTCTTCTCAAATCTTCTCAGCTTTTCACACCTTTTCAATATAGTCTAGGGAGTTGAAAGAACAAAAGAGTACAAAAGGGCATAAAAGGGCAAAGAAAATTGCATGGCATCGTCTCTCACTTTGCCCCGATTCACAAACTCACGGACGGGACCAACCAGCGTCCTCACGGCATTGTTGACCAGAACAGTAAATTGTTCCTTGTCGCAGTGCTTCAACACAGCAAATGCGTTCAGAGCCATCGTTGTAGCCACCGGCGGAAGCAGAGTGGATGATGCATCTGCACATAAACGATCGCCTAGTCTCTGCAGAAAGGCTTTGTTTCTGCAGGAAACCCTCGAAAAGGCATTGGCCAAACTGCTCACATCAATACTCTCCAACTCGTCTAAGCTTTGTTCTGCGAAGTGCTGTGCAAAATCATCCAGACTCTCTGCGCCACACCTCGGGTGTAAAAAAGCTGAAACACACGGCTCAGAACTCAAGTGATAGCTGCATGTTTGATGACTGCACCCAAGCATGATCGAAAAAGTTGGAATCTTCTCATTCTGCCAAGCACCTGAGCTTTGCCAGGGAGATCGCCACAGAACAAAGGTCTTTGGCGGATGCATTTTCGTCTCCTTGCCAGGATGCTTTTAGCAAATCCCGAAACACTGCTGAATCCTGGGCTCTGAACGGCTCTGATGGGGCAGCTTGGGCTGTGATTTTCGAATCACGGAACTGTCAAGGTCGCAGCAAAGTGCATTTCTAACAAGGGAGACCCGTCTGAAACATAGCAATGCCATGCAATGTCCAATTCTTGATCCTTTGGCTAATCTCTGGCTCATGTGGTAAATTAATGTAAATTATATATATAAATGATCATCATTGATCTCTGGTACAGTATCACTTGTTTTCGACATCTTCCGACAGATAGATTTCAGCTAATTGGGGCCTTTTGACACAGGCACCCACCCCCTTGAAAATTTGGACGCTTTTGGCAATTTAAAATATATGTTCATAATGATTATTCATAACTTAACTTTAACATCAACATGATGCCAAAAAAAAGGCTTCAAACCGACGCAGCCCGGGCGCTTTGATGCCCACTGCGGCATAGCCCTGCAACATGCGCCGAACATCTCGAAGAGTCAACTGTTTTCGCAACTCCAAGGCACGGTCGCTATACGCGCGCCACAGGGACTGTGAGTTGTGGTTGCCTGCGAAAGATCGAAGATCTCTCAGGTCGAAGGGTTGGGGTCATGTTGATATGATTCAAATGAATTACGTATGAATTTCTTTGAATAGTATGTATGTTGTTTGTATGTTCTTGATATATAGTATAATTTAGATTAATTCAGCATGCATGATTATATTATAATTTATGATTGTGGATAGTATGACTGAACAATTGCTCCCTACCAGTACTGAGCAGACTGCAACCACTCAGAAGTTTACCAGCACCATCCAGCCCCACGCTTTGCCTGCGCCTGCTGCAGCCATGGCAGAGGCTAGAACATGCGGGGCCATGTGCTTCACCTCTCGCAAATCCAACTGGAAATCCAACAGTGGCGACCTACCAGGGCTGAAATTGATAGAAAATTTGTCTGTCAGGCTGCTAACATCTGCCAACTGTCTAAGTTCAAATATTTCATCGCGAAATGAAGCGATTAATGAACACCGTTCTGCCACAAGCAAGAAATAAAAGAAGCACCGAAGCGCTGAGGCACCTTGGTTGAGGTCTCTTGGGAGCTGCTGCTGCTGCATATCTTCGACACCGAGTGAGGATCTGCAACATGCTGTCTCCATGCTGCAGTGGGCCAGGCATGGCATGCCAGGAATGCCAGGAATGCTTTGCCATGGCATCCGCGCAATTGAACGTTCATCGAGTATGCGCTACATGCCTTTTTCTTCAAGTTGTCAAGGTCACATTAGTGGCCCGAGGGCGCAGGGAGGATACGTTTGTCACAAAGTTCGTTGTTTTGGAGATCCGTATCTGGCCCAGCCACAATTACATCTGCACACTGGATTGCAAAAAGAGCATATGTGAGTGCGAACTGCAAAGAACGAATCAAAGCCGTCACAGGCATTTGTTTGCGATGTAGCTTAATGATGCCTAATGGTGCCTCACGGGATATTTGTGAGATGCTGTGAGGATAACCACTTCGTGCTTTTAAGAATTTTCTGGCATCAATGACAGCTCATCTTCTTACTGTGTACATCTGTGTACTGCCACTCATTGAGGGACTTTGAGCTACATGCAGCAGCATCAAATATCATGCCCAGTGTGCCACACAATCGACCCCTCTAACGAGTAGAGAAAAGCCCGGCTAGCAGCAACAAAATGGAACAACTACATCAGGTGTCTCAAGTGCAGCGCCTAAAAGGGTCATGAAGAAATTTGAAGTCATTCCATCAAACCGGTCAAACCCCTATCAAATGTCCTTGACTCCGAGCAGCCTGGCCTTAAAGAGCAGACTTCCGCTCTTTTTCTCGTCACATCCAAAGGTCATCAAAGGTCATCATTCTGCATCGTAAATCTGTCAAATTATTCAGATTGCAAATGTTCAGGGTGCTCATCGGCATACATCTTGCAAAGTCTGGACGAGGTCATTCTCCATCTGAGTCAGATTTGTGCGTCTGTGCCACACCGTGAAGCAATGACGTCGGGTCTCTAACCATCTCGACTTCTTAGTCCCTGTAAATGGCAAGGAGTCCAGCAACAAAATCCAGTGTGTTAATAGTCTCGTTGAGATAAAACTGCCCTATCTCAAAATCCAATTGCAGCACCACCAACATTTTGAGGAAAGGGCAGTCTCTCATGATTCTCATGGGTTTCATGATGGCTGGTACTGAGATGCCTTGAAGGATCTTGAAGGTACGTGTCTTTGCATCATTGGCAGGACATATCGCCGTTAAGGTTGATGATCAAGGTGCTTTTGATCTGCGCTGCATCACCGTGGATCGAGACTGCCAATGAAATCTCATCGCATGCGTGCATGTCTGCAATGTTGCTCCGAAGACTTGTGAAATCTTGTGGAAGTCCTTGCATTTGAAGTTTCCGCAGAGTCGGTTGGGGCATTTCTCCACCTTATACTATAATCTTCCGGAAGTGGATCACACCTGAAGGTTGAGCAGGTTCGGCTCATGGCAGTGGAGGTCGGGGCGACCAGACTCTTGGCTCAGGTCGTCTCTGAAAAGGCCATTGGACTTTGGGGACCTGGCAATGAGGACAAGGTCTTTCAGAGTCTTTCAGAGTCTTTCAGTCATCTGGCTGTAACCACTCCATCTTGATTCATCTGATTCCTCTTCTCATGGAAAAGTACATCTTGTAGCAGTCTTGGCCGATCTTTGCCACTGAGGTTTTGCTCGGCCCAGCAGGCTGTCGGCACCGTAGGACTGTCCCAGCATCGTCCCATCGACTTGTGAGCCCAATCAAGTCAGCATCCTTGGTTCGCTCGCGGTGCAGCAGGTCAAACCTTGAACATCAGTTTGCAGCTAAACCATTTTCCTGGCCATGGTCTGCTAAATTTGGATCAAATTGGAATGTATCATGAACCTATTGACATGTGGTTGAAATGTGACAGTCTATCCCTTTAGTCAGGGCACAAAGCTCGAGTCCCACCTTTCACAAGAAATGATGTGACCGTCGTGCCCAGATTGCGCACGGCACTCAGGTCATAGGGCAGCTCTCCTATGCCGCCGGAGGATTCCAATAAAAACCTGCCACGGATCAAAGGGCAAACTATACCAAAATACGACAGAATTATAGGGAATCTGAGCAAATCCAACGAGGAATCTTATGAATCAATATGAATAAGATTGAACAAATTATGACTGAGTTTGTCCGAGTCAGCGAGGTTGGACCAATCTGCTTCGAAATTTGGCTTCATGGTTCAACTTGACACCGCTGAAAGATGCTGCGACATGGTGGCAGTGCTGCCTGACATACCTGGTAAAAATTGGGGAATCAGCAAGGAAGCTCCTGCAAAAGGCACGGGTAACCATGAACATGGCTTGACGGTTTAAGGATGTTTGCGATGTTTAACATCAGATTTCATGAGCGGGAGTCCTTCTCCAAATGAAGCAATTATATCGGGAATCCAGTTCGCCTCCACGTGAGATGTAATTGAGTTCGCACGAGAAATGAATATAAATATCATATATATTATAGTATATTATAGTGTGTTCTATATAGTATATTATAGTTATATCATATAATAGTATACGTATTATAGTGTATTATATTGTCATATTATATATGTTATATTGTACTCTATATATGTGAATATGAAAGATAAACATAATCTTACCACCAAGGATCACCAAATAAAGAATAAATAAAGCATATATCATATATCTGACTTCAGCTGTGATTCCTGCCTGTGAGAAGATTCACCTCGGCATGTCATGATTGTCATGTGTTATCTTGTGTTCAAATCAGTGAAGACACAGGACACACAAAGGCCAGTGTGTTCGGTGATCCGACATTTCAAGCCCAGTGGCTCCACCGGCTGCCTCAAACTCTTTCCATTCCTGGTGGTAAAGATCCGGCAGAAGCCAACAACTTTTCACGGTAGAATCGCAATGGTCTCCCGCCAAACCCTCTCCTTGCCGTGGTGTAACAAGAAAAGCTCTGTGACATCTTGCAAACGACCTCGTGTGTAACCTCAAAGGCAAGGCAAGTGATCTACAATTCTTGCCTAGCTGCGGGGGACCTACTGTATGCCCTGTATGCAAATGAGCTAGGTCATGCAGGACAAAAGAAACTGCATGTTTGAAATTTCAAGATTGTAAAGCGTTGCGTGATTCCAGACAGACTCTGTGTCTGACAGAGATTCTGTTGGGAATAAGAGGGTCCCATACGGCTCACCCATCACTTGCGGCAGTGAGATTCCATCACTTGCGGCAGTAAGATTCTTCAAAACCAATCACTTGCGACAGTAACTTGAACGTTCTTACTGCCACAAGCGATTGGTTTTGCTTACCGCCACAAGAGAGGTAGGAGCCTGACGGTTGGGTGGGGTGGGGTGGGGTGGGGTGGGATAATAACGTTCATGTTCCTGTGCACACACAGGCACGGCAACCTCATCATCTTTCTTGCTGTCCTGCACACACAGGCACGTTGTTTTCCGATCAGTTACTGGTGGCGTAGGGTTGGGGTGGGTGGGGTGGGTGGGGTGGGATGATAACGTTCATGTTCTTGTGCACACACAGGCACGGCAACCTCATCATCTTTCTTGCTGTCCTGCACACACAGGCACTGCTCTTCATGATCAGTTACCGGCGGGGTGGGGGGGGTGGGTTTTGGGTGGGTGGGGTGGGGTGGGGTGGGCATAATAACGTTCATGTTTCTGTGCACACACAGCACGGCAACCTCATAATCTTTCTTGCTTGCTGTCCTGCAGACACAGGCACAGTTGTTTTCCGATCATTCTGTGGTGCGTAGGTTGGGGTGGGGTGGGTGGGGTGGGTGAGGTGGGATAATAACGTTCATGTTCCTGTGCACACACAGGCACGGGAACCTCATCGTCTTTCTTGCTGTCCTGCAGACACAGGCACTGCTCTTTTCTGATCAGTTACTGGTGGGGTGGGGTGGGGTGGAGTGGGGTGGGGTGGGATAATAACGTTCATGTTCCTGTGCACACACAGGCATGGCAACCTCATCATCTGCAGACATCAGTAAAAACAGTGAAATATCCTGTACAACAGAAAGAAGTTGACATAAACCTTATTATGTGCGTCAGCGTTGCGATATTTTCAGTGAATGTGCAGAAATCACATGGATAAAAGACAACGCGTAGCGCAGCGTCCGCGTGGGGAGAGAGTACAGAAACCGACGAGTGAGAACCAAAAAGATTTCATCAAGGTAACGTCAAGTATGTGCGCAAGTGCTGCAAAGCAGCTTACTGCCACAAGCGATTGGTTTTATATACCCTGTCATCAAGGACACCCACTTACCGCCACAAGCGATCGATTTTTTACCGCCACAAGCGATTGAAAACAGACACGCGATCTTACCGCCACAGACAACTAGGCCTTAAAATGCTGCACCTGCCACGCAGAAACAGCAATCACCTGCGGCAGTTTAAAAAATGAACGTTTTTACTGCCACAAGCGATTGGCGCATCTTACCGCCACAAGCGAGGTACGAGCCTCCCATCCTGCATCTAGGTGCGCAGCTTATAGTCTTCAGAGCTTTCCTGATGCCACGCTTGAAGCTGATCATTGCGAACTTCCACCGTGCCAATTTGGCCAGTCTCCCAAACCGTTACCAGGTTACCAGCTGTCCTGCATGCTGCGGGTGCCAAGCGAGCTCTGTGCAATGCATGCATTGCATCCTGGCCAGGACAATCCAAGGGAGACTGGGAAAGAATGGTAAAATTGTACAGTATCAAATTGTCACCTACCAACGGTCAAAGCCAACCTCGCGATCTGTGACATTGTCCGTCGAGACATCCCAGAAAATCTCCAGGCCTGACAGTTGGAGCATGAACCAGATCATGCAATGCAATACTATGCAATTCTGTCATGCCGCAAGCTGACCACGGACCACAAGTTTGAAGATCCGTAGATATTTGTAGATTGGGCCGTTGGGCTTGGGCCGTTGACAGATTAAGGCCACCCCCGCGACACGCCCCTTAGGGCCTGGCCTTTCAAGGCTGGGTGACTGAAGATCCCGGTGAATCTGAACCACCGCATCGCTGCAGAGCTTGAGACACCTGCAGCGCGGTTGACAAGTTGATGCTTGCTGCTTGATGGTCATCGTAAGATCTGTCCATTGTTCCCCCTGTGACATCCTGTGACTATGCTGGATACTCAATGGATACTCGGACACTCACCTTTCTCAGCTTCCGAGATTTTGATGAGCCAAATTCGGTTGTCACTTGCCTCGGTTCAAGCTGTGTGTAGAACTGCATGTCAGAACAAGGCCTGGGGATGCCTGGGGTATCCTGGCGTTGTTTGGTTGTTTGATGTTGTTTGGTTGCCAAGAAGAGTGCTCTGAGACATTTCAAGATTGAAAATCATGCTGAGTTTATCATAGTTTACCTCAGCATCTTGCAACTGCCAGCTGCTCTCGGGCATCTTCGCTGAGCGAAGGATGAAAGATCAGCACTGGGTATCCTCTCCCCGGCTGCCTCAAGTCCGGTGCTGCATCAACATTCCCGATCTGGGCCTGAATTCCAGCCCAACAGAGAATTGGAACACCAAATACAGTAATTAGTCCCTGACGAATTGAAGCGCCATAGGTCCTTCAAACGAGCCGCCAGTTCCTGTCAAGGGGTCTTTTTGCAGGAGAACAAAGATTTTGAAACCTTTTGAAAGCATCGGAATCATGGGCCTCCACCTCTTCCGTTCCACCGTTCTCCATCCTGCCGAAAGAGTGCTGCACTGTTTCAAAACTACGCCTGTGCATCACATGCACCTCCTGTGTCAACCCAAGGCTGACAAAGGCTCTGAGGATATCACACAAAGATAAATCCGGCTCGAAACTTTCGCGCCTGACAAATCAGAAAACGCATGAAAACGCCATCCAGGACACAGCGAACACCTTTGGCAATCTTAGGCAGAGATTTCGACTCATCTTGGTGTCACTGCCAACACCCAAATCTTCATGGCCATATCCCGCTGGCTTTCGCTCTGCCTCATCATCCTTGCTCTGGTCTATGATATCGCAGCGGCTCCCACGAAACGGTGGAAGACACACACAATGTGACCTGGCCAATGTGAAAACGTCATGTCGCGCCCAAAAGCTGTGGTCGCTTCAAATCTGGAATCACAGATCACGGATAGTCTTAAACCCAGACTCCCAGGCTGTTGTTATCTGTTGTTCAATTAAGGATTCTGGAAGCTCAAATTTGGCAGCAGCACGAGAGCTGATACTGACCTCAGATCTGCAGAGAATTACAGTGAGGAAGGCCTTATCTTCTGTGCTTTTTGTGCCATAAAATGTCAACTTTATCGGAAGTGTCAATGCCATCATACAGGAATTAGTAATTCTGAGGCCTGTAGGTTGAGGACTCTAGTTGCCTTTTCCCAGATCTCTCAGTTAAAAGACGTTAGAACATGTTTAAACTCAACTCTGAACTGAAATCAAAGCAATGCGATGTAGCAGTCTCATTTGGGGTTCCCTCTGCGCAGTTTTTGTTGGATGCAAAAGCAAATGCTACTGCTGCTACTGCCACTGGTGTTGTGGAAACCTCAGCTGTAAATACCTGCCAGCCGTAAATATGTTCAAACTCCTGTTTGGATGACACGAAGAACCAGCCAGGGTGGGCTCAAAGTCGATGATGAAAGCCAAATGAAAGATATTCCTCAGATCGAAGCTTAACAAATCTTGTCCATGGAGTCCACTTGGCCCACTTGGCCCAGTTGGCCCAGTTGGCCCAGTTGGCCCAGTTGGAACTAGGGGCGGCAATCTTGTGGTCCGTGGCCCACCCTCTGGAGACTCTGGAGTCGCGTCGGCTGTGCCAGTCCTGATCATCCTTGTCTAAGGTGCACAAAATTGAAAAAGAATGAACTCCAAATCCGATCCATCCAAGCTATGCTTCTCTTCAAAGACCTTGATGAAGCCAAGCTCCTTCATCTCCGCACAGAAGAGTGGGAAAAGGCAAATCCCATCTTGCGACCGACCTACTTGCTCACAAGCGCAAAAACGCCCGCCAGGTCGGAGAATCTTCTGAAGCAGTGCTGGAATTAAGTCCTAGGCATCGCGGCATCTCTACATCTGCAGCCAATGCAGTGCAGTAAGATGAACACGACTGCGAAGGGTCTACGGTCTATTGGATTCTCTTGGTGGGTTCCACATGGTTGTAAAAAGTGGAGAAACCTATATAATGAAACCTAATGAAACCTATTTACAAACGCAAACGCCAATCTACAACAAACGCCAACAAGCTTCCACAGTGGGCCGTTGGTATATGACCTCACTGGCCAGCACCAGGTCGGCTGCAGCAATACTTTCTGGAGTTTCCCAGTCTAAATCTACGACTTTGGCCGAATCAAAGCCGTTCTCCTGGCATGGTCAAACATGGTGGTTTCCTAAATGGGGGATATCTCCAAATAGACCATTTGAGTACTGAAACCCATGGTTTCGGGATGTTTCGGGGAACCCCCATTTTAAGAAAACCCCATATTAAATCCTCTTGAACCAATCGGTTTGTGGTAAGTACCAAAGATCTACAGATTCCACAGAGTTATATGTTGAAACGGGTGATAGTTTTTTCATGGGTGGTTTCATGGGTGGCACGTGAAGATGCAATGTCGACGTTTGATGGGTTGTGTGGATCATCAGGCTTCTTTATGTTCTTTAATACTGAATATTATCTAACACAGTATTCACAGTATTTAACCACTCAGCAAAAGGGGATCTTTTGTGCCAGCTCAAGGCCTACGGAAGTGCATAGGTAAAATGTAATGGTGACATGTGATTCATGTCTGAAATGCGATCAAAAATTCACTCCGATCCGTTCTCTGCTGGATCTGGTGTCTGCTTCATTCAGAAACATTTCTTACACTTTGCCAGTTTCACTGGCCGCGTGTTTGGGTTCGTCACGCAGGAACAAGCTTCACAATGGAAACAGCCGCCATGTGCCATGACGTACAAATGTTCCGGTACGTGCTCACTGGTCAATTTTGGTGCATCCATGGCTTTTACTCGGTTCTTCAAGATGTCATTCTGTGCTTTGAGATCTCTGTTTTCGTTTCCAAGTCTGGTCAATGATGACGTTTGCTGCCTCATGCGCCACAAATCAGCCTTGTAGTTTTCGGCCTCATACTCCAGTTGGTGAATCTTCGTCTCCAACCTTTTGATCTCTTCATCCTTAGTCACAGGATTTGGTTCTGGAAGGAGCCGTTTCGTTTGATCTGTTTGTATCGCTGCATCATGCAAGGTTGCCATTGCACTCAATGATGAAGATGCCATAGAAGAATGTTGTGACAAAGAACTCTGTTGAGAAATAGTAACATCTGTTTCACTTGTGGCTTCAGAAAAACAATCCCTGAGAAAATCACGAATCTTTCTACCAAAATGCCAAACAATACGTTCCACCACCAAAATCATCAAAGTGAAAATGACAAGCATGTAGAAAAGAAAACTGTCTTGGCTTTTCTGCTCTCCTGTCTCGGCATGAACAATGGGTAAGCTGCTCAAAGTGAGAAGCACTGCAAAAGGGAACATATGCCTTTCTTCACCGCCGCCATCATCGGTGTCCACCACAGATTTTTCGGCTCGCACTTGACCTTGTGGAACTCGTCGATGAGCACCTGGTCATTCATTTCAAGATCGCGCTCCTCAATGTCATATTTCGGAGGGAGCCGCTTCATCTGAACATGGTGCTTTTCCTCATTCACAATGTTGAGTTCACCGGTTGTGAGAAGCATCATCATCTGCTTGGAAATCATAGGTTTCGTAAGGCAGTCTGCAATCATGGACTGTGTTGGAATCAAAGCCATCCAACGGATTCTGCCTGAGAGCCGTGATTCTCGAAGGCTGAGCACATAGATACGTTGGGACTTGTCCTGAGGCAAAGTCTTGCATCCAGTAACCAGCTGAAAAACATCGTTGCAATCACCGTAATCATCAATCGGTAGCTGCATATTTCCAGCTTCCTGCAATGCTGCCAACTGCTGCAATGAAGGAGTCTTGTCCTTGTGCAACATCTCGCTCAAACGTATGCTCACCAAAATCGCAGACTCATGTCCATTGATAGCTGCCAACGTCTCTGCATGACTGGTAGAGTAGGAAATCCTTTTGGCCTTGCTTCCATGACTCCACAAAATGTGTGCTCGTCCACCATGAAGACGTGCTTCATCATCTGCGCACGAGTGCTCATAGATCTCGCTCTGTGGCTTGACGTGGTCTTCCATGAGCAAAACCAAAACACCTTCATGTGCATATGCTTTCTCCTTGGTGTGTGAGCTCGCGTCGTGAAAACATGCCAATCTCAAACCATGCTTCGGGTTCAGCTTTCTGAAGTAGAGACCAACGCCTCGTGAATCTTTGTCCTGGGCTCGCTTCAAAACTTGATTTGCATAACGAAGGTGGCGAATCTCTGCTGTCGTGACATGTGTCGCCAAGTGTGAAACTTCTGCAACCAAGTCCAGTCGTGTCGCCGTCAACCATAGCAGCGCGCCCAAAATTGATCTGTAGCTGGTGGTCTCCTCCTTCGTCAGCTTGTCATTGTCCTTCCTGTCATTGTGGATGTTCGCACCTGTCATCTTTTCGCAAAAGTCATCCTGGATCATGCGATAGCCATCTGGTATCTTTTCGTACTTTGCACCGCAATGCTCAAATGGCAAAATCTGCCGGGTGACCTTCTTGAACTTGTTGACAAATGCCTGATAGTGCTCATCCAACCATTGTTGTGGTGCTGCAATCGCCATGTCATCGACGTGGCATGTGCAAAGCGCTAGGATGCTGCCATCATCGCGCTTCCATCTCCAGCTGTTTTCATCCATAGCACTGGGAACTCCTTTGATCTCGCGCAAATACTGCTGCAAACAAAGCTGCCATGCAAGTGGTGCATCATTGAGTCCATAGACTGGTTTCAAACATAGAAGTCCCCATTGTTCTGGATCTCGAACGGCAAAGTCTGAGGAGCAGGCTGCAAGGTGTCGCCATGTGTTGAGTGGCGGAATCACTACTACTGTCCTCACAGGACTGTTGATTCCCATTTTCCTCAGCATCTCACGGATCTGATGGAAATTCAAGCCTTTGAGGAAGGCTCCTGCAATATCCCACGACTCCACGCTCAAATCAAAGACTGCAGCTGTGCTAAGCAATAGTCTCTGGCTGAGACGAGTCGCGGTAGTGCTGCGAGTAGTCAACAGATCTTTCTGTCGATCCAAGCACCCTCGCGCACAAAGTCTGCTCTTCACTTTGCGCTGACCATGAGGAAGTTTCTTCCATTTTCGGACCCATCTTGCGTCGATCACCACCATGTCATCGGTGAAGGCGTCTTTGTGGATCTTCTTGAATGCTTGCTCTTGCACAAACTGTTCAACTTCTGTTCGGTCTGCTGCATCTACTTGTGGCCAAATCTTGTAAACGTCATCTTCAGTGATGTCATCATGCTCTGTGTCAACCTTCCAAACATCAGATGTTCTGAGGTCCACATGTAGTAGTGCATTCTTGCTGGAGCCAATGTGGAAGAGATATTCACCTCGTCCTTTGACTGCTGTGTGCTGCTGCTGTTCTTGGAAAAACTGCTCAGTGAGGGTGTTGTCAGCCCAGAGTTGTGTTCCTGTCCAGCTTGTTGGTGCATCGGTCTTGATGCGTCGTCGGCGATCCAACAGGTAGTGCAGGGAAGATGCCTTGTAATAAACTGAATGAGAACTCCAGTATTCCGTACGCATCTTCTTCTTCTCTGGCGCAATGACAACGGTTCTTGAGTCTGGACCATCACGTTTCTGTCCATGTTGCTCTGAGCAATCTGTGTCATCTGCATCCATTGATTGAGGTTGGTCACCTGGTGCTTGTAGATCTGGAAGCTGCTGCTGTTGCTGCTCGCTGTCCATCGGCTGTGAGTGCTTCCATTCTCTGTTGGTGATCTCTTCGTTCTGGAAGACGTGATAGAAGAGGTAGATGGAACAAATCTCTTCCAACTTCTCCATGGTGACTTTCTTCAGCTTGATTGGATCTGATGACCAATGTTCTTGTATGTGATACTTCATGCTTCCCAAACTCCATGTGATGAGATGGCCAGTTGTGTCTTTCGGTGGCTTGATGAACTTCAAGGACTTGCCATAGATGATGCCTGACAAAGGTCGATTGGTGAGAGCCAGAGAAACTGCTTTCGCCTTGTCGAACATCTTGCCGTCGAAATTGTCAGTGGGCACTTGTCTCCAGATCACACCCGTGGCCTTTTGATCAGGTACGTGTCCAAGAAGTCGTTTGCATGTTGGCGGGACCATCTCTGTGTTCTTCATGATGTCATAGAGTTCATCTTCCGCTTTGTCAGGAAGCTTCATGCTGTTGAGCTCGCCAAGGAAGGTCTGCACGTGGTGTCGGATGTGTCTGATGGAAACCAAATAGGGACGCCCTTGATATTGAATGATTGCAATTCCTTCATCTGGATCAATCCTCAAGAGAAGGGCAGGTCCACGCCATCCAGCATCTCCTTGAACTTCACGATAGAACTCAACCTCCGAAGTGCCAGCGATCAGTGATGTTGTGTCAAGGCGATGTGACCTTGTTCGATTTGCCCTGGCTGTCCTGTCCTCGACAATGGCTTGTTGTACTGCAGCAAGTGACATCTGTCTGATGCGAAGGGCCTTCTCGAACACTGTCAGATCTGTCTGAAGTGCTCCTGCAGCTGCAAGTACGCCAGGGGATTCATCATCATAGAAGCCTCGAGGAAGAACACCAAACACTGCCATCGCTGGTGTCACACCGTTGTAGTTCAAGGTGCAGTTCTGCGCCATAGCCGCTTCCATGGCAATCTCGTTGGGTTCTGCAACGATGCCTTGACGATCAAGTTCTGCCTTCAACTTCAGCATGGTAAGTTTCATGAGACCTGCATGTCGTTCAATGAGTCCTGTCCCGGTATGTTGGGCTCCTGCAGCGCCAGCTGTCGTGCCTTTCGGCTTGCGTTCAATGCCAAGGCGTTCAAACTCTGCTGCAACTTCATGACTCATCAAAGAGGCTTCTTGATCCATCGTGAGCGCTCCAGGAGGTCCAAAATACCTCATCCAGCTTTCCAAAAACTTCTGTTGTAGTTCTTGTGCATCGCGGCCAAGGGTTGAGACTGCTACCTTGTAGCGAGTGGCCTCATCCACCATGAGCAGGATCCATGTTCCAAAGAGCTTGAAGAGATCTGCTTGGATGACCTGATTGAAGTTGCCAGCATTGTGAACTTTGGTTTGTGGCCTGTTTGGAAGGCGAACATACCTTCTGCAAATCTGACATTTCATGACTGCATCGCTGACAAGGTTCAGAACTTCAACTGGCATACCAACTCTTGCAAGAAGATTCTTCAAGTCACCCGGTGGTGAGTGCCAATACTTCTCATGTAG